CCCCCCCCCCCCCCCCCCCCCCCCCCCCCCCCCCCCCCCCCCCCCCCCCCCCCCCCCCCCCCCCCCCCCCCCCCCCCCCCCCCCCCCCCCCCCCCCCCCCCCCCCCCCCCCCCCCCCCCCCCCCCCCCCCCCCCCCCCCCCCCCCCCCCCCCCCCCCCCCCCCCCCCCCCCCCCCCCCCCCCCCCCCCCCCCCCCCCCCCCCCCCCCCCCCCCCCCCCCCCCCCCCCCCCCCCCCCCCCCCCCCCCCCCCCCCCCCCCCCCCCCCCCCCCCCCCCCCCCCCCCCCCCCCCCCCCCCCCCCCCCCCCCCCCCCCCCCCCCCCCCCCCCCCCCCCCCCCCCCCCCCCCCCCCCCCCCCCCCCCCCCCCCCCCCCCCCCCCCCCCCCCCCCCCCCCCCCCCCCCCCCCCCCCCCCCCCCCCCCCCCCCCCCCCCCCCCCCCCCCCCCCCCCCCCCCCCCCCCCCCCCCCCCCCCCCCCCCCCCCCCCCCCCCCCCCCCCCCCCCCCCCCCCCCCCCCCCCCCCCCCCCCCCCCCCCCCCCCCCCCCCCCCCCCCCCCCCCCCCCCCCCCCCCCCCCCCCCCCCCCCCCCCCCCCCCCCCCCCCCCCCCCCCCCCCCCCCCCCCCCCCCCCCCCCCCCCCCCCCCCCCCCCCCCCCCCCCCCCCCCCCCCCCCCCCCCCCCCCCCCCCCCCCCCCCCCCCCCCCCCCCCCCCCCCCCCCCCCCCCCCCCCCCCCCCCCCCCCCCCCCCCCCCCCCCCCCCCCCCCCCCCCCCCCCCCCCCCCCCCCCCCCCCCCCCCCCCCCCCCCCCCCCCCCCCCCCCCCCCCCCCCCCCCCCCCCCCCCCCCCCCCCCCCCCCCCCCCCCCCCCCCCCCCCCCCCCCCCCCCCCCCCCCCCCCCCCCCCCCCCCCCCCCCCCCCCCCCCCCCCCCCCCCCCCCCCCCCCCCCCCCCCCCCCCCCCCCCCCCCCCCCCCCCCCCCCCCCCCCCCCCCCCCCCCCCCCCCCCCCCCCCCCCCCCCCCCCCCCCCCCCCCCCCCCCCCCCCCCCCCCCCCCCCCCCCCCCCCCCCCCCCCCCCCCCCCCCCCCCCCCCCCCCCCCCCCCCCCCCCCCCCCCCCCCCCCCCCCCCCCCCCCCCCCCCCCCCCCCCCCCCCCCCCCCCCCCCCCCCCCCCCCCCCCCCCCCCCCCCCCCCCCCCCCCCCCCCCCCCCCCCCCCCCCCCCCCCCCCCCCCCCCCCCCCCCCCCCCCCCCCCCCCCCCCCCCCCCCCCCCCCCCCCCCCCCCCCCCCCCCCCCCCCCCCCCCCCCCCCCCCCCCCCCCCCCCCCCCCCCCCCCCCCCCCCCCCCCCCCCCCCCCCCCCCCCCCCCCCCCCCCCCCCCCCCCCCCCCCCCCCCCCCCCCCCCCCCCCCCCCCCCCCCCCCCCCCCCCCCCCCCCCCCCCCCCCCCCCCCCCCCCCCCCCCCCCCCCCCCCCCCCCCCCCCCCCCCCCCCCCCCCCCCCCCCCCCCCCCCCCCCCCCCCCCCCCCCCCCCCCCCCCCCCCCCCCCCCCCCCCCCCCCCCCCCCCCCCCCCCCCCCCCCCCCCCCCCCCCCCCCCCCCCCCCCCCCCCCCCCCCCCCCCCCCCCCCCCCCCCCCCCCCCCCCCCCCCCCCCCCCCCCCCCCCCCCCCCCCCCCCCCCCCCCCCCCCCCCCCCCCCCCCCCCCCCCCCCCCCCCCCCCCCCCCCCCCCCCCCCCCCCCCCCCCCCCCCCCCCCCCCCCCCCCCCCCCCCCCCCCCCCCCCCCCCCCCCCCCCCCCCCCCCCCCCCCCCCCCCCCACCCCCCCCCCCCCCCCCCCCCCCCCCCCCCCCCCCCCCCCCCCCCCCCCCCCCCCCCCCCCCCCCCCCCCCCCCCCCCCCCCCCCCCCCCCCCCCCCCCCCCCCCCCCCCCCCCCCCCCCCCCCCCCCCCCCCCCCCCCCCCCCCCCCCCCCCCCCCCCCCCCCCCCCCCCCCCCCCCCCCCCCCCCCCCCCCCCCCCCCCCCCCCCCCCCCCCCCCCCCCCCCCCCCCCCCCCCCCCCCCCCCCCCCCCCCCCCCCCCCCCCCCCCCCCCCCCCCCCCCCCCCCCCCCCCCCCCCCCCCCCCCCCCCCCCCCCCCCCCCCCCCCCCCCCCCCCCCCCCCCCCCCCCCCCCCCCCCCCCCCCCCCCCCCCCCCCCCCCCCCCCCCCCCCCCCCCCCCCCCCCCCCCCCCCCCCCCCCCCCCCCCCCCCCCCCCCCCCCCCCCCCCCCCCCCCCCCCCCCCCCCCCCCCCCCCCCCCCCCCCCCCCCCCCCCCCCCCCCCCCCCCCCCCCCCCCCCCCCCCCCCCCCCCCCCCCCCCCCCCCCCCCCCCCCCCCCCCCCCCCCCCCCCCCCCCCCCCCCCCCCCCCCCCCCCCCCCCCCCCCCCCCCCCCCCCCCCCCCCCCCCCCCCCCCCCCCCCCCCCCCCCCCCCCCCCCCCCCCCCCCCCCCCCCCCCCCCCCCCCCCCCCCCCCCCCCCCCCCCCCCCCCCCCCCCCCCCCCCCCCCCCCCCCCCCCCCCCCCCCCCCCCCCCCCCCCCCCCCCCCCCCCCCCCCCCCCCCCCCCCCCCCCCCCCCCCCCCCCCCCCCCCCCCCCCCCCCCCCCCCCCCCCCCCCCCCCCCCCCCCCCCCCCCCCCCCCCCCCCCCCCCCCCCCCCCCCCCCCCCCCCCCCCCCCCCCCCCCCCCCCCCCCCCCCCCCCCCCCCCCCCCCCCCCCCCCCCCCCCCCCCCCCCCCCCCCCCCCCCCCCCCCCCCCCCCCCCCCCCCCCCCCCCCCCCCCCCCCCCCCCCCCCCCCCCCCCCCCCCCCCCCCCCCCCCCCCCCCCCCCCCCCCCCCCCCCCCCCCCCCCCCCCCCCCCCCCCCCCCCCCCCCCCCCCCCCCCCCCCCCCCCCCCCCCCCCCCCCCCCCCCCCCCCCCCCCCCCCCCCCCCCCCCCCCCCCCCCCCCCCCCCCCCCCCCCCCCCCCCCCCCCCCCCCCCCCCCCCCCCCCCCCCCCCCCCCCCCCCCCCCCCCCCCCCCCCCCCCCCCCCCCCCCCCCCCCCCCCCCCCCCCCCCCCCCCCCCCCCCCCCCCCCCCCCCCCCCCCCCCCCCCCCCCCCCCCCCCCCCCCCCCCCCCCCCCCCCCCCCCCCCCCCCCCCCCCCCCCCCCCCCCCCCCCCCCCCCCCCCCCCCCCCCCCCCCCCACCCCCCCCCCCCCCCCCCCCCCCCCCCCCCCCCCCCCCCCCCCCCCCCCCCCCCCCCCCCCCCCCCCCCCCCCCCCCCCCCCCCCCCCCCCCCCCCCCCCCCCCCCCCCCCCCCCCCCCCCCCCCCCCCCCCCCCCCCCCCCCCCCCCCCCCCCCCCCCCCCCCCCCCCCCCCCCCCCCCCCCCCCCCCCCCCCCCCCCCCCCCCCCCCCCCCCCCCCCCCCCCCCCCCCCCCCCCCCCCCCCCCCCCCCCCCCCCCCCCCCCCCCCCCCCCCCCCCCCCCCCCCCCCCCCCCCCCCCCCCCCCCCCCCCCCCCCCCCCCCCCCCCCCCCCCCCCCCCCCCCCCCCCCCCCCCCCCCCCCCCCCCCCCCCCCCCCCCCCCCCCCCCCCCCCCCCCCCCCCCCCCCCCCCCCCCCCCCCCCCCCCCCCCCCCCCCCCCCCCCCCCCCCCCCCCCCCCCCCCCCCCCCCCCCACCCCCCCCCCCCCCCCCCCCCCCCCCCCCCCCCCCCCCCCCCCCCCCCCCCCCCCCCCCCCCCCCCCCCCCCCCCCCCCCCCCCCCCCCCCCCCCCCCCCCCCCCCCCCCCCCCCCCCCCCCCCCCCCCCCCCCCCCCCCCCCCCCCCCCCCCCCCCCCCCCCCCCCCCCCCCCCCCCCCCCCCCCCCCCCCCCCCCCCCCCCCCCCCCCCCCCCCCCCCCCCCCCCCCCCCCCCCCCCCCCCCCCCCCCCCCCCCCCCCCCCCCCCCCCCCCCCCCCCCCCCCCCCCCCCCCCCCCCCCCCCCCCCCCCCCCCCCCCCCCCCCCCCCCCCCCCCCCCCCCCCCCCCCCCCCCCCCCCCCCCCCCCCCCCCCCCCCCCCCCCCCCCCCCCCCCCCCCCCCCCCCCCCCCCCCCCCCCCCCCCCCCCCCCCCCCCCCCCCCCCCCCCCCCCCCCCCCCCCCCCCCCCCCCCCCCCCCCCCCCCCCCCCCCCCCCCCCCCCCCCCCCCCCCCCCCCCCCCCCCCCCCCCCCCCCCCCCCCCCCCCCCCCCCCCCCCCCCCCCCCCCCCCCCCCCCCCCCCCCCCCCCCCCCCCCCCCCCCCCCCCCCCCCCCCCCCCCCCCCCCCCCCCCCCCCCCCCCCCCCCCCCCCCCCCCCCCCCCCCCCCCCCCCCCCCCCCCCCCCCCCCCCCCCCCCCCCCCCCCCCCCCCCCCCCCCCCCCCCCCCCCCCCCCCCCCCCCCCCCCCCCCCCCCCCCCCCCCCCCCCCCCCCCCCCCCCCCCCCCCCCCCCCCCCCCCCCCCCCCCCCCCCCCCCCCCCCCCCCCCCCCCCCCCCCCCCCCCCCCCCCCCCCCCCCCCCCCCCCCCCCCCCCCCCCCCCCCCCCCCCCCCCCCCCCCCCCCCCCCCCCCCCCCCCCCCCCCCCCCCCCCCCCCCCCCCCCCCCCCCCCCCCCCCCCCCCCCCCCCCCCCCCCCCCCCCCCCCCCCCCCCCCCCCCCCCCCCCCCCCCCCCCCCCCCCCCCCCCCCCCCACCCCCCCCCCCCCCCCCCCCCCCCCCCCCCCCCCCCCCCCCCCCCCCCCCCCCCCCCCCCCCCCCCCCCCCCCCCCCCCCCCCCCCCCCCCCCCCCCCCCCCCCCCCCCCCCCCCCCCCCCCCCCCCCCCCCCCCCCCCCCCCCCCCCCCCCCCCCCCCCCCCCCCCCCCCCCCCCCCCCCCCCCCCCCCCCCCCCCCCCCCCCCCCCCCCCCCCCCCCCCCCCCCCCCCCCCCCCCCCCCCCCCCCCCCCCCCCCCCCCCCCCCCCCCCCCCCCCCCCCCCCCCCCCCCCCCCCCCCCCCCCCCCCCCCCCCCCCCCCCCCCCCCCCCCCCCCCCCCCCCCCCCCCCCCCCCCCCCCCCCCCCCCCCCCCCCCCCCCCCCCCCCCCCCCCCCCCCCCCCCCCCCCCCCCCCCCCCCCCCCCCCCCCCCCCCCCCCCCCCCCCCCCCCCCCCCCCCCCCCCCCCCCCCCCCCCCCCCCCCCCCCCCCCCCCCCCCCCCCCCCCCCCCCCCCCCCCCCCCCCCCCCCCCCCCCCCCCCCCCCCCCCCCCCCCCCCCCCCCCCCCCCCCCCCCCCCCCCCCCCCCCCCCCCCCCCCCCCCCCCCCCCCCCCCCCCCCCCCCCCCCCCCCCCCCCCCCCCCCCCCCCCCCCCCCCCCCCCCCCCCCCCCCCCCCCCCCCCCCCCCCCCCCCCCCCCCCCCCCCCCCCCCCCCCCCCCCCCCCCCCCCCCCCCCCCCCCCCCCCCCCCCCCCCCCCCCCCCCCCCCCCCCCCCCCCCCCCCCCCCCCCCCCCCCCCCCCCCCCCCCCCCCCCCCCCCCCCCCCCCCCCCCCCCCCCCCCCCCCCCCCCCCCCCCCCCCCCCCCCCCCCCCCCCCCCCCCCCCCCCCCCCCCCCCCCCCCCCCCCCCCCCCCCCCCCCCCCCCCCCCCCCCCCCCCCCCCCCCCCCCCCCCCCCCCCCCCCCCCCCCCCCCCCCCCCCCCCCCCCCCCCCCCCCCCCCCCCCCCCCCCCCCCCCCCCCCCCCCCCCCCCCCCCCCCCCCCCCCCCCCCCCCCCCCCCCCCCCCCCCCCCCCCCCCCCCCCCCCCCCCCCCCCCCCCCCCCCCCCCCCCCCCCCCCCCCCCCCCATCAAATATCCCTCTGGGTCAATTGGCAGTTCAACCACCTCCTGCCACCCCTTGGAGCATACAAACTGGGGTCATCCATGCTGAACTGGATCTTCTCTCTTTTGCCCCTCGGCCACCGAGAAGAGGTCTGACTTTCTTACAATCACGAATGGTACAAGCCAGGGCTGCCCCCCCCTTTATTCTTAATATTTTCTCTCTGGAACCCTCTCTCTGTACAGTAACCCTAACTTCTGCACCACCAGCACAGGGAAATGTGGACCCGCGGGCGGGTGCCATTAGTTCTAATGGCATGCCGCCCGCACTGGAAAACGCAACCGTACTGGGAACCGAGGTGCAGGGACTTCTTCCCTGTGTGTCACAGGCACGGGCACATTCAAATGAACAGACTCTCGTGCCCATGCAAAACGCAGCCTGCATGGCCGCATATAAGTGAACGGGGGGTAAAGGCTGACCCTGGCATTGCGAGTTACCAGAAGCAGTCCAGTGCTCATAAGGTGACCGCACTCGTGGACAATTTCTTCCTGACTGACCCGTTGTCGTCCCTGCTGAACTTGCTTCAATCTCTGTGGACACTTTCCATAGCTCCTTGGTTTCCCCGCTACCTTCTCGCATGGTCCCTATTTTGGGTAACCAGGAGTTTGAGCTGGTCTTCATAGCCCCCAGTTTTCATTGTCTGGTATCCAGTGGTCATCTCCACCTTTGGGATTTTCTGGGGCCTAATGGCAAGCTCTTCTCAACTGCCCTTGCCATTGCTTTGGATCCACCTCTGGACTTCTGGAGTAGCCTCCAGCACTTCCTTCATCAATGATCCTGCTCTCCGGGCATTTTCTGTGAGCTCACAGAGGTGGACAGTATCTTCCACAGGAGGGAACCAACTCATACTCATCACAGCCACTCTATCATTTATGCTGCCTTGATCCAACTGGCGGCAGACTTTACCTCTGCCTTTCTCTCAAGTGGGAATCCAATCTCACCATGCAATTCACTGCTTCACAAAAGGAGAAAATTCTCTATTTTCCCCAGGAGTCCTCTATTGCCACCAAGGTTCAAGAGACCAGCTATAAGATTATGACTAGGTGGAACAGAGTGCCCACGACCTTGCATCATATTTTTTCGCAGGTACCAAACTTGTGCTAGCAGTGTGGCGCTGGACGAGACACAGTGCTACACATTATTTTAGGATTGTCCAAAAAATAGACCGTTTTGCCAAGAGGTGGCCAGTACCATTAAACACCCAACAAATGTTTTAGCAGGGAACCCTGTGGCATGCCTGCTGCACCTCACAGAACGACTCATAAAAAATAGGCCTCCCTTACAATCCAGCTGCTGAACGCAGCTAAGGCGTGCATACTTGTGTTGGAGGTCTGCAAATCCACCCTCAAAGTCTCATTGGTTCTCCAAAGTCAATGAACTCCGAGACATGGAAGACCTCACGGCTACCCTATATATCCAGGAGACCTTTCATGCCACATGGAGATCGTGGCAATATTTTGTCTACACCAATGACTATTTACAGGAGGTCTCGCAACCCGGCTGAGTCTCTGGGGTCCACTACTGTGGAATTGGCTTTTCTGGATTCTCTACACTTCTTGTCTCCTTTCAGTGCTGTCTAGGTCTCTAGCATCAACCCCTTTCCTGAGCTCCCTTCTTTTTCCTCTGTTTAGGGCCCCCTGACTTTGCTCCTCTTACACCTGTCCTCTACCTCTTCCGCCTGCCCCCACACCCCTTACTTAGCTCTGAGATATATAATTTGCAGTTTTCGGCAGTTATCCTGCCATTATACTATGCCTATTAGTTTATACACCCTTATTGAGTTACTTTGGCCTCCGGGCACCTCTAGTGACCCGATTTTTTTTTTACTAAACTTGTAATTAAACATGGTTGCATGTCTATGTTGAAGCTCATACATGCATGTCGGAGGCTGCCTTCCTCTGAGACTTCTATGTTTTGCCAGCAGTTAAAGCTTCTGAAGTCTGTTCTTGTGTGCTCATTGTTGCTGTGCAGACTTTGTTTAGCCACCGATTTTGATACTTGAGTACCTCTGTAACCTTATTATGTACTACTCAGGCATATATTTGTACAAAACAACTTTTTGCTGAAGGAATTGAAAAAAAGAAAGAAAACCATTGATAAAATCTTCACCCATCATGGTTGGCTTAGTCTTCTTGGGCTGAACGTCAGCAACCATCACCTTCACAACACTGGTGAAAAAAATGGAGGGGCTTCCTGTATGGGAGGGGTTATATAGGGGAGGATTTTCTGTCTATTTTTGGTCTGCCAGTGTCCATTCACCTATAGGTGACATATAACCTCTGTTGTCCGTGATGCACAATAAATAACCTTCAGAGGCAGCAGGACTAAGGGAATATTCCCATTGGATTTAAAGGAGGACTTCTCTAAAATGGAAAGTACCAACCTAAAGTCTCATGGTGTCCTAACTGGTAGAACAATATGTGCGATCCCTTGTACAAAGGTATGCACCAAGAGTTTTGTAGCAATGGGTCTACCAAGGCCGAAATCTGACCTGTGATTGTACTCTAGGCCAGTCCCTGGTAGACCCAACTGGAGACACAGCCTGTGACATACTTAAAAGAATGAAGTTCCCTGGCCTCACACAAGTTAAGACTTCCAAGTCCAATGATAAATCTTCCTTTAAGATGCCTTTCTAACCTTCAGCAGGGTAGGAATGACAGAATCAGAGACACCTCCGTCTCTCAGGACTTTGGCTTGAAACAGCCATGCCATTAAGCCAGCGACTGCAAAGAAGGATGGAAAATGGGACTTTGTGACAGGAAATTGGGCCAATTTGGAAGGATCCACGGTTCACCCACCATCAAGGTACCACAGCCTTCTGATCCAAGCCAGGAAAATCACTACCAGAATACCCTCCCACTCGAATCCTGCAAAGCCGATGAGGTAAAAGCAGGAAGGCATAAAGTAGGGAGGACTGATCCCACAGAGTCACCAGTGCATCCACCACAAATCCTTGTAGGTCCCTGGTCTTGGAGATGAACCTGTGCAGCTCCACATTTAACCTGGATACCAGAAGATCCACATCTGGGAGTCTGAACCAACAGCACACTTCTGGGTGACGAGCCCACTGGAGCCAGTTGACTGGCTGTCAATGGAGCAGGCAATAGGCAAATCACTCTCAATTCTAGGATGTAGACGAGAAAAAAACTCTCCCATGGTGGGCAAACAGCTGTTTAGCCACATGGATCACTTTTACCAGAAAAGGCAACGCCAGCTCTAAAGAATATCAGGATGAGGGTACATTGGTCAGGAAGTGGTTAAATTAATCCAGATCACTTCCACATGAAAACTCAAAAAAGGCCTATTGGGTCTGAGATATACACTGACCCTTGGGTTCTTCAAGGATAGGCTCCTCAGAATAGGAGTCTACCAGAAAAAGGGCTTCCCTTTCTAACATGTTCTCCACTGGCTCCTTTTGATAAAAAGGGAGGAGGAAGAGAAGGAGAATGCTTTTGCTGGCAACCAAAGCAGAATAAGCTGGAGAGTATTTCGGAGAGCTGGTGTTGTACAACAGGAGATTAAAGTTTCTGCCTTGACATAAAGGTACAGGAGCAAAGTGCCCAGGATAGCCAGTGGGAGTTAAATCCACATGGAACACACTAATACTCAGGGAATAAATTGTTCGAGATGCTGTGTTCAGATTCCACCACATCTAGAGTTGATGGCAGAGAAGTGAAGATTTAGGTAGTGAGGGGCTTCAAGTAGACAAAGCCTGGTGACAAATGTAAATTACCCTTGCTGGGAAAAGCAGTCCAAGTTTGCTGAGACAAGACAACACTGTGCCCTAAGCTAGGTTAGTTCCGGAGAGATACCCCCCTCCCCCATCAGTGCCCCACCATCTCAAGAAAATACAGAGTTGTGTGGCACCTTTAATACTTACTGGACCAATGAGTCACCTGTGTGCTGTGCCCTGTAGTCCCACAATAGGAAATGCTCTGCTGCAACTTCTAGTTGCACAAAGAAGCGCGTGCTGCTGCAACCTGTAGTCCTATTGAAAGAGTTGACTCACGTGTGCTCAAGATGGCCACCACCATGTGCTCTGCCTCCATTTGTGATGCCACAAGCCGCACTGTGTATGTGTGTGCAGCCTACGCTGACTGATCTTGAATGTAGGGGAGAATTCTCTACCCCCTGCATTTGGTGCTCTGAGACTCCCTGACAGTACCCAATCCTAAGTAGCACTCAGAGCAGCCAGGGAGGGGAAGGGTTGCTCCAGAGCAGGGGTCTGCACCTAGTAGATCTCGGCCAGGTGAGTGGTAGATCATGGTCTGGACTTGCTGATCCGCCATCCCACAGCATCAGAGTGCAATGCAGAGGCGCTACTTGTAAAGTTAGGGATGTAGGAGGGAGCAAGAGCCGCATAAGCTGATGCCTCCTCTGCAGTACTAGCTCCTGTCCCATGTGGAGTGATACCAACTGTACTCCACCCCTTATCCCAGCTAAAACTGCAACTCTACTGCAGGGTTTTATCTCACCCTCCCAATTTACGTGTGAACAAGCCATAAGGGTGCCACTGAGGGCTCATTCACAAGTGCAGCAGGCACTACTGCTCCTCTGAAAAAGCAATCCAGGTGTGTCTGGCAAGTGGTCAGGAGGAAATATGTTGCCCCCTCACCACCTGATTTAAACCCATGATTGCAGGACATTTGCAACATGGTAGTATGGCAATTAGGGGTTTAAATCAAGTGTGAGAAGGCAAAACTGGGCAACACTGTGTCTGGTGATCGCTGACATCTCCCATGTTGTTCATGTAGATCTCAACCTCTTTAAGGTTGCCTACCCCTGCTCCAGAGCAATAAGGTTGGTGGGTGTACCAACAGGGATTACTCCTGGGAACTCAGATTTCTAACTGCAGAACCTCCTGGGTGTTCAATCTTTATCCATCACTGTGGACTCTGCCACTAAGAGCCTTCAGGGACTAAACTCCAAACTGGGGATCACTGCTCAGGACGTGTTTAGCATCCTACCAGTCCACAGGCACTATGTCATTGTACAAGGTCCTACCCTGCACTGTCCAATGCTGACCAGCAAAATTACAGGCCATCCCTGTATGGGGTCTCAGTACTATTCCTCTGAGCATAACATAGAGCATAGCTGTGGGTAATGGATAGAAAGAGCCAGAGCCAGTCTCCTAATCCCTGGTCAGATTTTGAGAAGCTATTTTCATGCACAGACATGACCATAATATAGGAAACTAGCAAACCCTTATAGTCATTGATATGAAGATGCTCTGTGTCCCAAGACGCACAAAAAAGAAAAGTAAAACATTTGCAGAATGAAAATCAGAAACAGGTGCCTCCATGTACATTATGGGTGAAAAAAGGTTTCCTTTGCTCAATGTTAGAACATTGGAAGCCTAACTCCAGTAAATTGTTTTACGTTGGGGAGTCAGTGGATGAGTTAACTTTCTGTCATGTTTTCATTTGTCTGCGATCCCATTAGAGAGCTTTCCACAAAACCAGGTAAAGAAATATGGTGGTGTCAGAACCAGACTATGAAGGTACAAACAGCAATAAAATTATCATCAGAAGTTCTAATCCTTCCCCACGCTAAAATTATTGTGTTAGTCAATGTCCCCATGTCAGAAATTCGGACAGAAAGTGGGGAAAACCTTCAAATAAGAGATAACGACAGCACCAAAACAGTCAAAAGGCTCAAACTGTAACATTACTATATTTGGCTAGAGTTGGACTTCAAAATAGGTCAGCAATAGCATATTTCCATCCTCACAGATTCTCTCTAATGGTTGTGTGTTAACTGAAGTTCTGATATGAAGAGTGACTTGTGTATTCCATAGCAACCCACTGTGTGAATATCTAAAATGGTTCCCTTACAGTCTTTTATGGTATTTGGTGTTTTCAGAACAGCCTGTAACTTTTTGGGGAAAAGAAAACACTGTTTATAAAAAAAAAAAAAAAAAATCTCTAAATTAACTGTAAATCATTTTCAATTAAAGTATAACCTTACACACATCCCTTTTCACTTGCTTTAAATCTAAACATTTGTGCATTTTATTATTTAAATAATTTTAAAAACATTAAAAGCTTTTCAAGTCTGCTCAGTCACCCAATCAACCCTCCCGCTGGGTCTTCCCTTGTGGAAATGGAGAATGCAGTAAGACACCAGAAAGACATAACAGTAAAAAGAACAACAGATTGCTTGCGGAGCTAATCCACTCTGATATAAATGTACTGGCTGGCTACTGACAAAGTTACCCAGCCTCTTAAACCTTCTGCATAAATCATTTTTGGTGGATTGGCCCTTAGAGATAATGATTCTAAAAAGCCAGCAGATCATTTGTTTTTTTTTTTCCTTTTCATCTATTACCAGCCATTTCCATTTTAATCAGAATTAGCCAACAGCATGAGAGATAGCAGTCAATTATATTGCACTTAAAAAAAATCACAAATATAAGAAGAAAAAAAAGAAAAAGTAAATTATAACCTATTCGTATCTGGAAGAGTCTAAAACACAAAACATTAAGATGTTGTAAACTTTCCAGGAACTTTGAGATCCATCTATTTTACAAAAGACTGGAGAGACTATACATGTGTCTACATACATACTACAAGGTAAAATTTTTCCAGATTAAATCAGTCACAGTTTTAATTTAATATATTAAATTCTTGGAGCAGGGTATATCTGAAAAATAGAGAAAAGTGGACAGCCTCTTGATATGCACTATGCATATAAAGATCTAATTTTTTTTTTTTTTTTCCAATTTTACACTGTAAAGCCAATCCAAATCTGGGTACGCACAACCATCAATCCAATCACGCTTGGTTTCAGAGAGCTTGTTTATCCACTGTTGGTGCTGAGAGCAGTGTCATTCGCTATAAAAGTCAAATGGGAAGGCCACAAAATGGCAATGTTTGCTTGCTTCATAGTCCAACCCTTTAAGAATTTTCTAAAAAAAAGAAAAATCACATCAAAGAGCTCCAGTCATCACAGACTTGAAACATTCCACCAAGTGACCCAGGATCATTTCATATAGATCGAACTTGCTTTTCACCACTGCAAATGGAATTCACTGAATCAAGCTGACAATTCTGGGTTTCGAATTCAGGGCCACAGACCGAATACACTGAAATGTTCTGGAAGTCTTGAGACGAAGTCCAAGACTATTTCTGCACTGGGTATTGTCGCTGACCAAGTCTCCCAGGCCGCGCTGCACTGCCTCCTGCAGGAGTCTGCTGTAAGTAGAGCAAAAAGATCAATGAATTGGGAAACAGTTAAGACAAATATCAGAAATTCTGTCCATTCCTAAATTTTTCCCTCTGTTGCCAAGCAAAACCAAAACACTTCTGGATGTGTTTTACGCCAGCACCGCCCGCAGCAAACCATAGAATCTTCACATGTGAAAAACTTCTTGGTGTGTTTTATACCTGCACTGCTGGCAGCTAACTGTGGTGGGGGGGGGGGGGGGGGGGGGGGTGTAATGAAAGCATCCAAAATGGATGGTGGGTCAGAAGTATAGACAGTACAGTATTTCTCTTTTGCTGACTGCTTTGTATTCAGTTTTTTTTTTTTTTGTTTTTTTTTTTTTTTAAGGTGACAGAGAAGCTTTATAAAAACCCTTGCCTAGAGCAGGATTCCATTATTGTAATTAGCAAATGGTAGGTATGTCTGGCTGTCTAAGGCTTTATTACTTAGAGGTATATTTATTAAGCAGTGAATCTGACAATCATCAAACAATAACTGTAGGAGAATCTTCCAGATCTAGCAGTTTTAAATAACAGTGATTGATTCACTACCAGTGAATGTCTGGTGAAATTCACATTTACGGATTGTGAATATGCCTCAATAAGGTTGTTAATCTGGAGAAAACATAAGCTAAATATGTCAGCACTTTTCATCTGTCTACATATTCTATGCAGAACAGCCAGGCAAATCTCATTTTCAAATGGATGTCAGCAATGGCAGCTTCTGTTTGGCTCTCATTACAGGTTTTCTGTTAATTGTAACTCGAGGAAAAACTTTTTTTTTTTTTTACGTTTTTATTGTGGTTTTTGTGTCTTGGCATTTTCTACTCACTCCCTGCGACTGGTGACTTGTCACCATGACAAGAAATTAGGGGAAACCTTCCCTATCAGAAACATGGCAATATAACTGAATTGTATTAACATATTTTCAGTATCGAATTCTTATTATCGGGTTTTCTTATCAAAAAAGAACCCAATGTATCTTTTGTCTGGAGAAATTGACAAAAAAAAAAAAACCTTTAACCAAAACCAGGTGTAGAGAACATTTTCCATTCTCCTGGAAACAAGATTCAATATCTTTCCTTGGCATTTAATAAGCAATAGCTATAGAAAAATTGTATAAGGTAAACTAACCTCCCCTGTTTAAAAAATTAGATAAGTAAAAATTGGACTGTTATGTTGGAAAGTAGTTTTCAATCACAAAAATAAACACAAGGCAATCCTAATACCAACAGTTCATATATTTACAGTATATCTTTGCAGTGGGGCTGGTAGTAGATTGTGTTAATCCCATTATATCATTTTAGGATTCAAATCTGATGAAAGTGGGTAAAACTGCAGGAAATTTGCCTGTGACTTTCTAGTTTTTTTTCTGGACTAGTTCTCTGTAGCCCGTTTAGATACGACTTTTATTTAAAATACACTCATCATGAGATAGGTATATCTGCCATTGTTTGTCTCCTTCTAGTAATGTTGGTTGCCTGGCTGTCTCTTCATTCAATACTCTGAGATGACTTTACAAACATGCTTATTCCAGGTTTGTGATTCAATTTTTTTCTCTCAATTTGTTCCAGGCCATGACTTAGAAAGCACTTAAGCCAAAATATCAATATGACAGCCAGGCAAGCAACATCCTCAAATGGAGAACAGTAACAGCAGCCTACACACAGAGAAGTGCACGTTAACAGATTAAATACAGTTATGTTTACAAAACCCTTAATTGTAAAACAAGATCCAGCTTTTGATTACATCCTAATCTAAAAAAAAAAAAAAAAAAAAAAAAAAAAAAACAAAACAAAACAAAACAAAAAAAAAAAGACATGCACATTAAACACCAAAATTGACTTACTTGTGTAAAATTTGAAGGGTTATAAAAGGTAACAGTCCCAACAGGAGGAACAGATGTAGGGGCAGCATTACTGAAGGCCTATAAAAGAAGAAGAAAAGTTTAGTAATGAAGAACCTTCTTCAGCTGCTGAAGGGACTGGCAGACAGAGCCACAGCTAACAAGTATAGTACCGATCAGAAATGATGGTACAAGATGGAGACCAAGATGTAAGCTTATGAGTCTCCAGGTTTGCTGAAAGCACAAGTTGTATTCTTACTCTCCACAACTTGGTAAAGGGAAACTCCAGTTTCATTAAAATATAGAACTTTTATACAAACCATTTGTAATTAAGTATTATTAACAATGGCCTCTTCATTTCAGTCAGCAGGAAGCTATGATTTTTGAGAAGCAACAAAAATCGAATTTCTCTACTTTGTTTGCTATCGCATCAGCACTCTGTATGTAAGATTTCTTGAAATCCTTGCCTCCATCCTAGAGGAGCACTGTGCATTTCTAAGACATTAGCAAGTCTGCCTAGACACTTGCAATATGGTATCCCCATCATATCCTTAGGTTTACAGCAATTGGAGCTTTTATTGAAGATGCACAAAAGGCTATACATATAGGAAATCTTACACCCCCACATCACATTAGGACACTTGGAATGAGAATTATTTTGAAGGATTTCAGCAAGTACACTAAAAAGGTCTATATCAATAGCTACAAATTTGCACATATAGATTTTCACTAAAATTTTCTTAATGTATTGCAGGAGACAGGGTGATTTCATTTCCAACACATAATATTCTCAGGTGTTGGCACACTCTCTACAATGTTGCTAAATAGAATGAATGTTTGGAAACCCTTTCCTTTAGTCAAACATGCCTGAACTATCAAAGTATAAACTTTTTTTTCTTTTTTAATAGTTGTGGGTAAGTAGACATTTCCTTTACGATAATAAAACCTGCCTGATCATTTAGAAAACTGCACAGCTGTGCAATCAATGGCTGCTTTGGCTCTGTCAGCAAATCACTTCTGCATTGCCATGGAAGTGAAGGAAAGGCGATGAGGTAGGAGACCCGAAACACCGTCTAGTATCACAGGAACTCTCCATGCACAGGGTGAGTGCAGCACTCAGGTTATTAGCATGCACGGTGCAGTGTTAATAAATTAGCTAGCAATCTGGAAGTGAAGGCTGTGTAGAAAAGTATGTGACATCAGGCTGACAGCTAAGTGCTACTGACCTTTCTCCTGAAGCAGGATTCATTTGTTGGTGGCTTGTGGAAATTTACCATATTTACATTACAGTTTTAAATTGAGGACGCTTAATCCAGCACCTCCTCTAAATTGCACGGAAGAACCAGAGAAAGTCAAATTGCTACGTTCACATTCATGCAGTTGGCAAGTAGTGCCGCTGCCTGAATGTTTTATGTGGCCGAATGTTAGATTCTCCCAACAACCACCCTCATGAGAAGAGTGATATGACAGCAGGCAGAATGCTGTAATGACACAGATGCTTAATGCCCTTCTGAAGGTACATTGCCTTACCGGTGAACAACTTGTGTATTCTTGTTTTCTAAATTAACATAAAACTAAGCAAAATTGTAGGTCAGTGTATTAACTGGTTCCGGCACCACCCTCTGCAGCTTTCATTCAAGTAAGATGTACTGCAAGAGATCCTATATGTACAAGGAGACTGAAGTCCTGCTCAGAAGCCCTAGTGAATCTGGCTGAAAAAGATTACATACAAATGCAACTGCAAGGTAAATGGAGTAGACATTCTGACTTCTGCACAAGTGCAATAATAAAAAAAGTTTTTCAGATGTCCTTTTACCCACTATTTAAAAATAAGTAGAATTTAGCCATTTCTTTAGGCAAAGTATCAAAGAAAACTAAATCAGAGGAACACAAGATTTTTTTTTTTTTTTCAAGCCAATAAAGGTAATGGCAGACATCCTGTGATGTCTTCTATTAGCCAGGATTTTTAATTTTAAAAGTGAAAGTTAAACAAGTCTGAAACTTTAGGATATAAAATTACCGAATAACACAGAATAGTATGGACACCAAAACTGGTTCCCTTACACCTAAAACAAGTTAGGAAGGGTTGCAAGTACAATGCAAGCACAATTAGTGAAAAAATACATAGGAAAAAAAGTGCATAACTATTGCAGGAGAACATAAAAATGCGGCGGCCAGCTGCTGGTACCTGATTCAAATGCTGGCTTACTTCTCGAGATAAGGAACTCAGAGAACTAGATCGAGAAAGCTACAAAATTAAGCAAAAAAAAAAAAAAAAAAACACACACACACAAACAAAAATAAAAACAAGAAATGATCATGCAGTTTGTTGCATCGCATTTCACATTCTCCAAGGCTTTCAAATCAAATGCAATACTGCAAAAATATGATACAAAAGCAGAAAAACACGGCATTGCATTATTTCATGTTAAACACAAAGCCTCTGGCCATCTGACTCCTTAAAAACTGTCACACTCTGGAGTATCAAATATATTTGGCAGATTACAGTCATTCAGTAATAGTACAAAGTGGAAGAGTAGATTTCCAGTGTAGCCAACCATTTGAGAAACCAAGGAGAATATACTGCTAATCATATTTCAAGTCTTCTCTTCCAACATTAACTGCATTTTTATGTAGTCAGAAGAAACACATAGCACAATGGCAGATACTGAATATAAGATGGTTTGGTGGGGAATCTGAGAAGTCAGAAAGCCAATGGGCCTAAAAACAAAACTGCTGCCTCATTTTTCTGGGTCTACTGCTGCCACTCTGATCATGTTGATGCAAGAAAAGGTGTCTGCTGTTTGCTGAGCAGAGCTACACTATACAGCTAGAGGTTTTATGGACACCTTGCCATCAAACCTATATGAATTTGTTGGAAATACCATTCCAAAAACATAGGCATTATTATGGGGGGTGGCTACCTCTTTGCAAAAATCGTGAGATCAGGTACAGATTGATTCAGCTTGATTCATAAATAATCTGTACGTAGGGTTCAGGTCAGAGCAGACACTAGAGTTCATTCATACCACCCATTGAACTGGACCTTCATGAACCTCGCCTTATGCACAGAAGATCTAAGCACTGGAAGTGTGATTGTTCAAGCATTCATGCTGGAAGAGAGGAGGGAATTCTCAAACAGTCACCACAAGGTTGGAAGCACATAACTGCTGTATGCCAATGTTGGAACATAGAAATTGCATGGGTATGTACATGACTTTATGCACCAACTTTTCAGATGAATGTCCAACAAGCTCATACAGGTGTCATTTAACTTAGCCATAGAGTCTAAATGGCAGCTGAATCCACGTATCTGTTCATCCCCGAGTTACAGAATTTTATGCCACAAACTCCACAGGTGGTTCATTTATTCTATTTCAAAGTGACTTTTTTCCCAGAAATTGTAGCCTAAATAGAACCCAGTTTCCATTTTAAACATCAAGACTACATTCACATGAGTATAATATAATACCATTTATGCTGTATCATTCTGCCAGGAGCTGGCACAAAACTCAAGCATTAAAAATGCTTGGTCTGGTGCATATTTACACACATCCATTCACGTTTATGCACACAACTTTAATCTAGTGGCTTGAGTATGCATGTGTTTATGTACAAGTTAGGCCAGCATACTTCTCTCTAAATGCAGGGTTGCGGTTTTATGGTCCCAAATGCCACTCTAAAATACAAAGCTAAATGTCGCAATGTGCATGAGCTGCATTCAGAGGCAAAAAAAATAATAAATAAATGGAAAATGCTTCTAAAAGTGTGTTTTTTTTTCTGCCTTTGTGGACGAGGCCTTAAAACCCAGAAATAACTGTCCGCAACAGTTGTAAAGAATCTGCTTTTCTCTTTATAAGTTAGAAAACCTCTTCTGAAATCTAATTTGATTCAATTCTAACACTTAGGGTAAAGTGGTTGTAAAGTCCTAACCAGCAGTCACTCCAAATCCAGGCGAGTGTAACTTAGTTCTCAATAGCACTCAGATAAAGAGGAAAGCAGGTGGGCAGGGCTCATCCTAGAAAACAGGTTCCCCATAACAAAGTAAATCTAAAATGTGGTACACACTGAGTAAATCGGAAGAAAAATTCCATACGAGGAATGATTGTTTGATCTTCGTATAGTGCGTACACAGCTTTCAACATCCGAGTCAAGACTTTCCAAATGAAAATTTCCAAAGGGACAAATTCCAACATTTTTCACATACGTTAACTAAAGATTTTCATCTACTGTGTACGGTTTTTGTAGAGAAAAATTGGACACAAAAGACTGTATATCGAGGAAAACCGAATGCGCCCAATTTTCTTATAGTGTGAACCCAGCTTAAATCAGCAAGGTGCAAATATGGGGGTTTCCTGGCATATAAATATTCAGATGTTCAGAAAACGCAACTGCTGCTAGATAGAGCTGTGAAGATTAAAATAGCTGGCTATGTCTATGCCTTACAAAAGAGGTGCATAGGTACCTGATATTCGTTGTCAACTTAGAAATTAAAAAAAAAAAAAAAAAGCCTACTGAACTGCCTGCACTGAACCTTGCTGCTTCTGGGGTGAGATCTTCACACTAATTTTTCTTCTGCAAAGCAAACATGAAAGATCGCATTGCTGACTTCTTTGTAAAGATGCAGTCAGGCATGGTCATCTTGATCCTGGCTTCAAAACTGGTAGGTAACTGACTTGCAAAAAGCAGCATTTTAGACTGGCAGAATGGTTGTTCTGGGTCAGTAACCCACTGAGGACAGCCTGGGAGTTTCCACTGTTGAATACAACAGTGGAAGCTCCCAAATTTCCATCTTGACAAATACACTTTAGGTTTTTTTTTTTTCTAAAGTTGGAGAGTGCAAAATCAGGCTCACTTTTGCATAGAAAACAATCAGCTTATAACCTCAGCTTGTTCAGTTAAGTGTTGGTAACAAAACCTGGAAGCTAACTCATTTCTATACAGATTAGGGCCTGATTTTGCAGTTTCCAGCTTTAGAACATAAACCCCTTTTAGTCCAGACCAAATAACAGAAATCTATAGCTAAAGATAAGGAAATAAAAATACAGTTTCAAGACTATCTTTAAAAATATATGGGCACATGGGAAAGCATCCAGGGGTTCCTGTGTGGCTGAAAACAGATATTAAGAGAGGGAAGTTAAAACCTTGCCCTAACTTCATCCTCTTTGCAAAAAAAAATCTGTCAGTGTAATGGAAGGACAGATAGCAGAAAGTGGTATTCACACAAGTACAAAGCAGGCGCAATCCAATACAATAAGGGGTGCATTGCTTTTTCCTCTCGTGATTGCTCATCATGTCTTTGTTAATGAGTCAAAGTGTTAAAGACTCATTACGTTACATGAAGATGGTTAGATTTCAAAACCACAATGAAAAATCTGGAGCATACCTCTCCAGAAGGATAATCATCTGAGTTTGAAGGTGGCAGATCAGATCCAGAAGTTGCACTTAAAAACTGAGATTAAAAAAAAAAAAAAAAAAAAAAGGAAAAGAAAAAAAAAAAGAAAGGGGATTGAAACATATTGGTCATTTGACTCAAACGTTGAAGGGTCATGAAATTACAATTATGATTCAGCTTCGGCAAAGGATTGGATTTCCCACAGGTAAATGTGTTGTATACTTTGCAAGGGAATTTTCACTTTGCAAAGTAAATTTTCAATACATTCACTAATTTACATGTAAGAATTTCAAATCACATGCAGAGCAAATAAAAAAACAAAAAAAACAACAACAGTATTTTTGCTTGCACATGACTGGATGATGGAAACCAGCAGAGATTCATTAACTAAGCTAAGAGAAGATTCCCTTTCAAAGTGAACAACCCACTTATCTTTAGCAAATTAACCCCACAGTATGAAATTCTGAGGTACATAGTTTACAACCATCTGGATGACCAGTCATTGCTTAGCTTAGTTCCAAAGCTCTTAAAACAAACTCTGTTCACCGCAAGTAAGATTTTTGTATCCAACGTAAGGTTGCATTTACACAATGCAATTTCCAGCAGCAAGACTTGGTGGATTCCTAGGGCTACGAATGACAGGGGTGTGTGTAAATAGTTGCTTCCAGCCACAGTCATCGTAGGTAATTGTGTCAGCCTGCCACTGTATTGTGTGGTCTGACCGGCCAAAGAAATCTGCACACACTGGTCCAGACGAAGGAATCTGAAGATTCTTGCCGCTAACACTCCCTGTGAATGCACTCTTCAATCTATTTCTTGGAATCCATTGTGAGACATGGGAATTCAGATACAGTTGGGTTATACTACTGCTTACAGGAGGTTTGGACATCAGCAAACAGAAAAACAATTATAAGTCAGTCCCTGTAAAACTGCTCCTCTATCCAGCATTTTTGGCATAGGGCCAGGAAGGTTTGGACAGCTTTTTTTCCCTTAAATTAAATGTATCAGGTTAACTTTGTGCAATATTAAAAATAGTTTGATGATCTAAATCATTTAAGTGTGAACAAATCGGCATAAAGAAGAAAAAAAAAAAAAAAAAAAAAAAAAAATCAGGAAAGGGGGAAAATACTTTTTCCCAGCACTGTAGGTAAGTCCAACACAAGAGGGAACCTCTCTGTACTTGAGAGCCAGACTGAAACCACTGGGTAAAGTTGTATCCCTCCAGGGCAGGAGAGCCCATCCCACTCACACTGGATCAAGCCAAGCACTATCTGACATGAGAGACAATTTGAGTGTCTCACTCAGACCCCTAAGAAGCTGAGGACCAGCTAAGACTCCCGAGGAAAGGAAGATCAAACTAAAAAGGGGGTTCCCCAACATCCTACACATCCCTGAGCAGGAGGAAAGAGGTGAACGCCCCGACTATAGCCAAAGGATCCAAAAGCACACAGGGAATACACTTTTTTAGAGTTGTGTTTATAAGAAAAGTATGGTCAAAGCTGTTTTGGTCATAATCCTGTTTTGGGTCAAAGGAGTGCACTTACTTTTGCATTCTGTGCCCAGAATCAGCTTAAGCCTGCTGTCGGCTGATGTCACAGACCTGTTACAGACTCTGGGAGGATCCCATTCATTGTCGGAATTCACCCAGCTGCCTGATTGATAGCTGGCTCCAACTCTAAGGATTCGGCTAAGAGCCAAACCCAGCTGCACCCACCCCCTCCCCTACCCAGTGCTCCAGTAAGCACTGGAGGGGCAGAGCAGAAAGCGGTGACTGACCGTCACTGCCCTCTGCTTAGAGTTGACCGAGAACTGAGCAATCAGCAATCATGTGACTGCTCATTTCCTGGACTTCGAGTCGGGGAAGGACTACTACAGCATCACACTGTTACTGCAGCATAGAGGCACGTATGTATGTTTCTTACACATCCCAAACCTCTCCTTTAAGCTGAAAAGCCTTGCCCACCAGTGCAAGGTAGCTGCCAAAGATAACACTTGTAAGGCCCTATCTGGCTGAATCTTAAAGGTGTTAGGCCCTTCAGAATGGTGGCAAGGGTCCAAAAACTTGACTCTTCAGAGTAGCCCAGGAAAGACACTAAGGTGAACACGAAGCCCAAAACACAGAGGTAGCAGTTGCTTGTTTAGGTAAGAAACAACCAGATTCGGTATGGTACCTTCTAAGTCAGGAAGTACATCTGGAGGGATGCTGAGAGGTACCCTGTACCATGGGAATTTAACAGAACCCAAAGACAGAGGAGTGAGGGTCCAGATAGGGTACGACTACTAAACCACTTGGAAAGGGGGCATGAAGTGCCAGCGTGCGTGAAACCCAGGGAAATTGCTTTATTTTGTGCAGCAACACAAGAAAGATAGTGAGGTACAAACGTATAATGTATCAGGGACAAAGGGTTAAGTCTTTGGGCCAACCAGGATGTCTTCTACACCCAAATGCTGAAAAAAACTTACCTAAGGACCAGTCCAGATGCACAGTCAGCCCTCATTTGTACCTCCATACAGAAGGTTTTTCAAAGGGGTTAGCTGAACTCTAGGTTTAGGTCCTGCAGGCTGAATGGGAGCCAGGGAGCCTCTGAAGGCCTGTGAGTACCTTCTGCCAAAGTAAATGAAAGGATGGAATTCCCTTGACCCCACCACAGACCTTCTGTGTTGACACATCCTGGCCATCTGTAGCATTGCGAATCATGGTATCAAGAGCAGGTCCAAAGAGTGTCCAACAATGGTTAATTAAGTCAGGTACGCCTTGGATGCAGCATTAGCATCCCAGCCACACAAAATGCTCTGCATCTGAACAGACATCATCAGTCCTGTGAGAGACAAAAGTCCAGATGCTTGTAGAAAGCCATCACAACTAAAGCAGAAGGCTCCGGACATTTGTTACATCTGTTTTATAAAATGGGCCTCCTTAGCGGTGCAGGGGCCATGCTGAGGGAATTTATCCATTCCAACAGTTTGACAGATCAAGGACACAGCCAATATACGGCTTGTGACCAAACCAGTCAATTCAACCTGGGATTTAAAAGGGACTAACTGCCTATCTGTAAATCCCTGAAAAGTGAGCACAAATCTAGCCAGTCCAGTGGTATTCCTGTTAAGGTAGACCACCAATGTATTGAAAGTGGGAAAAGACCACCTTTTTATTCCCTATTGCTGAGTAATATGTCAGCCAGAATCTCAGGTGGAGTCCAGTTCTGAAACCCTCAGTACCGAAGGTATGGTCACTAGAAAATACCCTTCCTGGGACAATCTGAGGGTTGTCGGCAGCAGGATCTCAGGCATGTTCTGCAAAACTGACAACACTTGATTAAGATCCCACTGCAACAATAGGCTAATAATTGGAGTTCTCCACAGATGTGGAAGGAGTTTTGGCCACCAGCAGGGGCTGTCCCTTGGGCTGACTATTTTTGTGCACTTACTGTCAACTATAGGTGGTGATATACCCAAGTTAGTGATGATCTAAAAAGCAGAGCTGTATCCTCCAATGAACAAAAGAGATTCAAACTGTCAGAGATAAAACTGTTGGCACTCTAATCCTTGTTACCATCTTTTGACTGACTGAAAGGCCCAGCTTGATCTAAGGCATCTGGAGGGTCAGAGACAGACTAGGTGTGCTTTGGTGTCATCCACTCCATAGAGGCTCTGTAGGCAGAGCACCCCAATAACTGAGAACATGCAGGCAAAAAGGACATGGTGGTTCCTTAGGACATGGGGGAGGACTCCCCTGATGGAGCTGAAGACCCTTACAACAATAGGGGTGTCAAGTTCCAAGTTACATGAGCTGGTTCCTTTAGCAGATACCAGAGAACCATCCACAGAACCAGGGAGTATGGGCTGACCCCTGAAAGGGGGACTATCCTTTCTGTGTCTTAGTGAAGACAATATTGCCTCCATGCAGCTGTATCAGTTTGAGGTGAGGGCTCAGTTACTTCTAAACCCAGGCAGGTGATGCAAATTGGGAGGTGACCAAGTCACAGTAGGCAGGCAGTGGAAAAAGACCAGAGATCCACATGGTACTTCACAAGAAAAAGCAGCAGCAGGATGGTGCCCTCTCTAGGCAGAATGAGAGAAAGCACGATGCATGTGTCGCTCCAGCTAGTTGATGTCCTCAGTCCTTAACGCTTGTTGCAGTAAAAATGGAGATGGTGGGACATTTGAATGGTGCTCAGGAGTAGCTCCTGGTGCTTTGGACCAAATGGCCTTACTTGTAAAGCAAGTCTACTGAGATAGGATCACTCAATGACTATGGACCTGAAAAGCAATTTATGGTAAGCTGTGTATACCTAGGACTGGAAAGCGCTACAGTGAAGAGCTCAGTGTCTGAAGGTCACATTATGGGCTAGCTGTGCACATCCAGTCCACCAGGGTCTAGGAACGGCCTCCAAAAATAGTAGTGCTGAGGAATAGCTGATCCACACAGCTGCTATGTAGAGACCAGCGCAAGCAGCAGTGTAGCAAGGAAGCTTGAAGTTACAGAGCAAAAAGATTCACTTTGTGCAAAAAATCCAAATACTTTTTGCTAGCTTATTTTCTTAAAGAGCTGAGAAAACTGTTTGCCCTTCTAGAACACCAGCAAAAAACTGCGACATGCTGAGTAAAGCAGCAGCTATATTAGAAATTTTTTACAATTTTTCTGTATGTCGGTATCCTGGCCTCCTATAGAAGGGAGTAAAAACCAGCTGTTTTAAATGCCTGTGTCCCTCAATGGATGAGAATTTTTTTTTTTTTTAGGTCACAGTGTGAGAGGCTTAGAACCTGAATTAGGTTTTTATCTTCATGTCACCTCTAGAGATATCTCCACTCAATTCCTGTGCCAATGGCAACACTCACCATAATGGGAAGAGTTCTCCTCACTTTCCAACAGGTATATAGACAACACTGAGAGCTCCCAAATCTTCACTGCTACATTTAAAACTAAAGAATAACATTTTGTATGAAATTGCTGGGTCAGCTCAAACTCACCTGTGTCTGGGTGGGATTATCAAGGCTTGGCTGGTCAGGAGGTTGTACCGTTTCTGCATCTGAGCCAAGGCTGGGCTGACCCTCTTCTGGAACTGTTAAAGAAACAATATCAAACAGAGGTTTTGCAGCACTGGGATTGAGATATGGGGGAGGGATACTTGTGTGCAGTAAATGAACCGTGCTTTATACCTTTCTATAAAGTGCACATGTAAACAAATACTTTTAACATAACTTGAAAAAAAAAATACAACTTCTATCTAAAGAAATATTATATTAAATCCAGTGCCAATATTAAATAATGGCCAGTATAAGTCCCATGTGATAGACCACTGCTAATGTGGCTCCACTGTAAACATGCTCAACAAACCGCAAAGTATTCAGTGAAGTGACCTCCCAATGATTCACACCACTCGTTAATTCACCACTGAAGACACCTTGACATAGGTGTAACATGTAATAGTGGTGCTTGATGTCACATTTAGTCCTTCTGGTAACGTAATTTCCTGCTGGTGGAACACACGCTGGCTCAGAAAAGAGGACCAGGGCGCGTTCTGTGGTGTGCGAATATAAAGGATATACTTAGTGCCAGTATTAACGTAGTTCTAAAGGCTCAAGGTTTTTTACCTTCCTGCATTCTATGCACGAAGGTAAAAAAAACAAATAAAACTTGTGTAGCAGCCCCCTTAACAGCTGAGCCCCATCCCAATCCAGCGATGTCCATGAACAGCTGACCCCATCCCAATCCAGCGATGTCCATGACAGCCTCGGTTCTCAGGGGACCCTTAACCCTGATTGGCTGAGGCAGCAGCAGGAGCTATTGGCTCCCAATGCTGTCAATCACAGCCAGTGAGCCAATCAGGAGAGGGTGAGGCGAGCCGCGGCTGTGTGTGTGAATGGACACGCAAAGCCGCATCTTGGAGGCCCCATAGCAAGCTGCTTGCTGTGAAAACACCCAACAAGAGGGAGAGGCCAGGAGTGCCGGCGGGGGAATGAGGAGAGGAGGAACCGAGCTGCTCTGTACAAAACCACTACACAAAGAAAGTAAGTATGACATGTTTGTTATTTACAAAAAAATGCACAAAAAATAAAACACAACACTTTATCACTTTAAGGGCACTAGTAAATGTGAATGTATTTCATGATGTTTAAGGGGACTTTTTTTATTCTAATAAATTTGTTTGAGCAATGATTGTTTTTGATCTTGGCAATTTTTCCATATGAGGATTTCAGACCCTTTTAGAAATAAAAATGGGACATAGAACTTTGGTGAATTAATGAGTAATGTGAATCACTGGGAAGTTATTTCAGTGAATAAGTTGCAGATTGTTGAGCATGTTTGTGGAGTCACATTAGCAGTGATCTATCACATAGGACTTACGTTGGACTTTATATAATACTGGCACTGGACTTTATATATTTCTTTATATACAAGTTGGATTTTTTGAAGTCATGTTAAAAGGATTTGTTCACATGTGCACTTTATAGGAAGGTATAAAGCGTGGTTCACTTACTGCACATAATTACAGTAAAACACTAATTTTGAACTGTAGCTGAGACTTTTTAGATTACCACTTTATTGAAGATTTTATTGTAATGTAGGGGTTGATATGGTTTCTTCATATAGCACTGATGCTGTATATTATACCAATACTTGATACTTCACCTCCATGAGTAGCTTCAGTTTAAAGACCTATCAAGTTCAAGTGTGGCCGATTGTCTGACACTTCCATTTTCTCGTTTAGACATGCATGGGATAGTGAGCCTTTTTATTGCTTTATGTTTGTTTTAAGTGCTTCAAGCTTAAAATGTGATTGTGCCTGTTTCTCTTTTCTTCGGTATGGGACTATAGTGTTTTATATTGAAATTTCAGCAATTGTTCTAAAAATATACTTAACATGCTGTCTTTTATATAGACTACAACCTGCATGTAAAAATCATGTTATGCCTTAATATATATATATATATATATATATATATATATATATATATATATACACACACACACACACGCATATACATACACAGTTGTGTTCAATATAATAGCAGTCAGACATCACTGACCTGATCACTGTTTTTGGTAGAAATGATATTTCTACATGGCTAATAATTTACTAGCAGGGTTAGTACAGTAATAGATATCCAAAAGACCCAACAGTCATGACATGCATGCTGCTGATTCTGTGTAATTGAATCACTAATTGAAAAGGGCATGTTCAAAATAATAGCAGTGTGGAGTTCTATTAGTGAGGTCATTCATTCTTTGAAAAACAGGTGGCAATTATTGCCCTTATTTAAGGAAGGAAGGCAGCAAATGTTGTACATGCTGGTTACAGTGCATTTCTCTCTGAAATTCTGAGGAAAATGGGTCGTTCCAGACATTGTTCAGAAGAACAGCGTACCTTGATTAAAAAGTTGATTGGAGAGGGGAAAACATATAAAGAAGTGCAGAAAATGATAGGCTGCTCAGCTAAAATGATTGCAAATGCTTTAAAATGGCAACCAAAACCTGAAAGATGTGGAAGAAAGCGAAAAACTACCATTCGAAAAGATAGAAGAATAGCCATAATGGCAAGGACTCAGCCAACAATCAGCTCCAGAAAGATCAAAGTTGGTCTAAAGTTACCTGTGAGTACTGTTACAATTAGAAGACGCCTATGTGAAGCCAAGCTATCTGCAAAAAGCCCCCGCAAAGTCCCACTGTTGAAAAAAAGACATGTGCTGAAGAGGTTACAATTTGCCAAAGAGCACATTGACTGGCCTAAAGAGAAATGGCGCAACATTTTGTGGACTGATGAAAGTAAGATTGTTCTTTTTGGGTCTAGTGGCCGGAGACAGTTTATCAGACGACCCCCAAACACTGAATTCAAGCCACAGTACACTGTGAAGACGGTGAAGCAGAACCAGAGATCATGGATCAGTTTGAATACATCAGAATACTTGAAGAGGTCATGTTGCCTTATGCTGAAGAGGAAATGCCCTTGAAATGGGTGTTCGAACAAGACAATGACCCCAAACACACCAGTAAACGTGCAACATCTTGGTTCCAGACCAACAAGATTGACGTTATGGAGTGGCCAGCCCAATCCCCAAATCTTAATCCAATAGAAAATTTGTGGGGTGACATCAAAAATGCAGTTTGAGGCAAAACCAAGAAATAGAGAAGAACTGTGGAATGTAGTCCAATCATCCTGGGCTGGAATACCTGTTCACAGGTGTCAGAAGTTGGTTGACTCCATGCAACACAGATGTACAGCAGTTCTCAGAAACAGTGCTTATACAACTAAATATTAATTAACTGATTCAAAGGAAAGCAAAATCTTCAAATATTTTTCAGTTTATATAGTGAATGTTTGAGTTTGTAAAGACAAGTACAAACACTGCTATTTTTTTGAACAGTCTAATATTCACTTTTCTTCAATTTTTGTTAGAGGAACAACACAAATTTGATATATTTTTCTTCATCTTTTTATTTGGAATAGAATGTGTAGTGTTCCCAATGCATTTGTGTGTATGGAAATAAAAGCTATTAGAAGGATTTTGAGCTTTATTCACTTTTTTCAACACACTGCTATTATTGTGTGTGTGTGTGTGCGTGTGTGTGTGCGTTTATTTGGTTTTCTCCTAAATAAACAATTTTCTCTCTTAAGAGCTCTAGGCGCAAAAACTATGTTCCTCAATAGCCACAAGTAATATAAATCAACTTTGACACCAAATTCAAACCCAGATATCACCTTGTAAAAGTAGCAGTGACATCATTATTGTGCTGTGCATAGTATGTGCAGAGAGTGGCGCTGTGGGAGGGGCCCAGAAGACTACACCACTACAAGCTGCCTTCATGAAAACTACAGGAGGAGCAAAGACAAGACCAATCACACTGCACAAGAGAAGGCAGTAGTGACAGGTCTTTTTTACAGGAAGCTCCTGCACAGAGGCAAAGGTTCATACTGGTTTACTGCGCAGAACACACAGATTCAAGCCCAGGGTTCAGCTTTAAAAACAGAAAGGGCCTAAAATTCAGGACCATACGGAAACCACTGTTCACCTGAGTTAGGAACAAAGAGGTTTGATGGGATGGCCATTGGTGCTAGAGGAGCAAAAAGATCAGCTGGCGATGGCACAGAACTTGCTGGCTTGCTGCCACCTGGGTTTAACACATCCACATAGCGACCTCTGGCACCACCTAGAAAAGAAAAACATTCTGGAATCAAGAATCCATTATATCAGAGAAATAACCTATCTCTATTTGTAATATCACACAAAAACAGATATGTTTATAAAATCCACATGTACAGTATAAACTAAGTGGCCATACACTGAAAAGTTTAATTTATCAGTTTGCTAGGGTGAGGCCTATACATTAATAGCTCCAGAGCCCCACTGTGATGTTTTCAGAAAATGATCCTTAAAAGCATTAAGAGGCAGATATTTATTATATTGCAGCTTACCAGATCTTATTAGTGATGCTTGCATTAATTTTTTTTTTTTTAAAGGCATTCTCTCTTTTATTTCACCTGGTGATCCTGCTATTAAGTCTGTTTTTCAACAGAACAAGCTGTCCTGATGATGCAGAAGTTAGTGGGTTGAGACAAACCATTGCACAATGACAGGCATGCTTACAATGATCAGCTTTTATGTAAAACCTTCATCTCAAAAAGAACTGCTGCTATAACTGCTTAAAGGGTTAGCTGGAGTTTGGCTTCAGTTCAATAGTGTATCTAAATCTGCTAGTACATCTAACCCTACCACCCTCCGTCAGACTGACAATGCTGCTGTTCATAGGTGTCTCTGTTGCTTCTTCATCCATAGAATAGTCCAGGGCTCAACAAATCCCAGGTCTCAATGGCGGCTAGAAATTGCATCCTAGCGCCAGGGTTCACACATACTGCCCCCATAGACTTCTAGGGGAAGTCGCCTCCCCTAGACTTCTAGGGGAAAAACTCCTGTCAATAGCAAACCTATGTGAGCACTTATCTCTGCATGCCACTATCACTTGCGAGTCTGGAATGCACCATCACAAACTTGAACAGGACCCTTTTCATAATGGCACTCAAAACAAAATGCCTGTGGATCACATCTGTGTGAACCACCTCAAAAGGAACACAATATCTAGCCTGTTCTGCGAATCTGAGTTTCAAAACGAACTCAGAATCGCATATGTGTGAAGCAGGGAAGTTCCATTCACACCTGGGCATTTTGGGATCACAAAACACAGGTTCATATGCCATTATTTTCAATGGCGCCTAAAACATGGTGTGGTTTTGCCGTGATTGTCGTGTGGCAAATCGCACTGCGTGAAGTCCCAGATGCTGACAACCCATGCTACGCTTAAAAAAAAAAAAAAATGGCTTTTAACTTTTTTAGCTGGCTACTAGAGCCAAAACAAATTTGTCAAGCCCTGGAGTAGTCTAATACAGGAGGTTTATTACTGGCCAGCTCATCGGGGAAAATACCTAAAAAAAAGACCAAAAAAAACAAAAAAAAAAAAAAACCCAAATGCAACCACCGCATCTGATGATTGGTAAGCTGAAATATATTTTAGTTTTTTTGGTTTAATACCGCTTTAATGTGCACAGAAATAAATTTGCGGGGTTTTTCCGTACATTTACAAATGTATATTTAAGTATGATTGCAATCATTTGGTTGATTCTAAGGACAAAGCACCAATTTAAAACAGCCTTTTCAGACACAGAGGATACAGTTACCTGCTCTGATTGAGAACATATTGACTGAAGGATTTGGGGGAGCTCCGGGTCCACCTGGTCCAGAGGAGCCAGTCTGAGGTCTTTTCGGCATTACTGATGGAGGTGGAGGCAGGGGTTTGCTCTAGAAACAAAACATTTTGCTCTTCGGTATATGTGCAGTGCCATAATTTTTCATGGTCATGTAAAACGTGTGCTTACAAAACAGGGGTAAGGCCATGTTTAACTCCTGCATCTATTTTACTGCAATAGGCAAAAACAGTTCAATTAAAAATGCTGCAGTGAGTTTTGTGATATCCACAAATATATGTTGCGCTCCTAAATACTTCTCAATAAATAATAATTAAATTATTACCATTAAATTAATTCAAATTATGATACAAATAACTAATAATAGTGTATAAATACCAAAAAAATATTTAAATAGATAATTTCAACTGATCAATCTCCTCCAAATAAATATCAAAATAATTCCACATTTAATTATTTTGATATTTATTTGGAGGAGATTGATCAGTTGAAATTATCTATTTAAATATTTTTTGGTATTTATACACTATTATTAGTTATTTGTATCATAATTTGAATTAATTTAATGGTAATAATTTAATTATTATTTATTGAGAAGTATTTAGGAGCGCAACATATATTTGTAGATATTTCCAACACAGTTGTAGTTAGGCGTTTCATGTTTGTGATCCTCTAGTAATTATCACACCTGTGGCTCGCAAGTCACTCTGATTCATCTATACCTTTTGTGATATCCAGTTGCATTTTCATGATCTAACTGGATGCTGTCCTTAAAACCCTATGTAAGCATTTTTTTTAATTATACAGAGCATAGAGAAGAGCTAAAATGTATTTATTTTTATTGTCTGTAACCCCATTAGGAAATAAAGGGAGCAGTTGTCACAGACGCCAATAAATACTTTGTTCTAACACCTATACTAACTTTTGAATGCGGAGATACAGTGGTACAGCAATAGATATACAAAACAACCTTACAGTGTGTTTACAACCAGATGAGAGAACCAGATGAGAGAACCCCCCCCCCCCAAAAAAAAACAAAAATACATTACTAGCACAGAATAATCTTCGCTCTTTTTTTACCCTGTTGCTATTTTACAAGTTCCAGAGGATTACTTAGACCTAGAACCTCAAACACAGCATGAAAATCCACAAAACTGCTATCCACTCACCTCCTCTCCCTCAGGCTCATCCAGGTTCACCCAACGCTGTTTGTTCTCATCCCAAACGATCTGCAATATAGATTAAAAAAATTAGTTTACTGTATAACTAGCTGTTACTAAGGTAAATCACTTAAAAGCTGACGTTAAGGTAGTTTAGCTTTTTCCCCCCTCCCATACAGTTACATTGTTCCAGCCTCGACCAATGTATGTATAAGTGTGCCTTACACCTTGCCGATCTCTGTGGAAGCAGGATATCGCTGCAGACACAATTATTATGGTGATCACGGCCATCTTCTGGGTCCCGTGCTGAGCCAGTGATTCCCTATAATCATTGTACAACAGGGCAGCCACTTGCTCAGCATGGGCAACACTTTGCACTTTTTTTTTTTTCAAAGAAAGCAGAGGTTCTCTGATTGAATGAGATGGAGATTGTGATGGCACTGCCCCACCTTTCCTTTTTGTCCAATCATGGAAGGCATTGCATTCATTGAGAAAATAAAAATTGTTTTCTGAATGGCGCATGTGCTGAATGAGCGACCTCGTGTTTAACTATGCAGAAGAGCAGCTGCTTAACTTCGAACCTGGAAGCTAGGGGTGATCACTGTAGTAAGCAGATATTTATAGCTTACATTTGCTCCAGCTAGAAAAAAAAAAAAAAAAAAAAAGCAAAAGAAACCCCCAAACCTATACCTAAACTTAGCCTTTAACACGTATTATGCTTATCAGAATATTTAACCCATCTCATACAATGGAGGATGCAAGAGCTGGAGTGGGAACACACCAGTAGTAGCAACAGCAGGAGCAGTGGGATTGCAAGCAAGACAGGTATATAGCCAAGAACAATAGTAGGGACATATCAACAGTGGAGTGCAAAAAAAAAAAAAGGTGGCAAAGCTACTGTGAGCTTATTTCACTTTAGTTGCTGGATTTAACATTGATTTTGTAATACTGAGAATGCAGACTCTCTTGCTAGACCTTCCTAACGGCTCCAACAGTTGGATGAAACTGGGAAATTTGTAAATTCACAAAAAGCTATGGTGGCCACAATTCTCCATTGGAGATGCTTTAGAAGTCTTCACGTTTTCAGTTTAAAGAGAACCATGACTTATGGCCCTAGAATTACTGCTCGTACTCAGACATTCAGGGCGATATCACACATGTGTGGCGCAAGTGATGTTTACTCACACGTACATGTCCTATGTTTGGATTGGGATATGTACAGAGGTACTTTTTTCTTTCCAACTATTCTTATTTCATTTTATTAGATTTGTGTTTTCAACCTCTTTTTCTTCATTTAACTTTACTGCTATCACAACGGGGCTAACAAGATCATTATATGATGGCATGGACAAGTGACAGGTTCTCTTATGGAGACATCAGGAGTCTATTAGACCCCCAATTTCCTCCACTGCAGCTAAGCAAGCACAGATGAGCTTGATTAGCTTCTACCCTGGCTACAGTAGTCAGAGAATGACAGCTCTGAACCCGTAGTTAACGTAATACATAGAAGAGGACTGGGAAAGCTCAGGAATTACTGCAGGTAATGGAAGTGATGGAAAAACGCAACTTTAGAGCTTGTAATAGCAATTAGGTGGCTTTAGAGCTACCTGATCACTTCTAACTGAAATCCCAATACTGCCTCTAAAAATCCATACCAAGCTCTTGGCTGCAGCAACACCCGTGAGCTTGCTTTACCTCCTTGAATACCAGGAAGTTTATAAACATACCTTGGCAGACAAGGGGTTAATACCTTTAATGATAGTATTCAGTATATGAATTCCTTTTTTAAATGTACATGCTTTTATTCATATTTTTCTAAATATTTAAGGCTTCCCAAGCACTCAGGGTACATTTGGCAGGAGCAAAGTCTGTGTCCATGCTGTCACTGTGTCCCAATAGACAGCAACAGAACTGCCAGAACGGAGCTGCATGCAACAGCTGTGGATCCCTATGCAGGTAAAAAACACAGCACTGCATGGGCAAAGATGAAATCGCCCCTTGGGAACGAGGTCTAAATGCAGACCAAGCTGTCCAACAAAAATGAAAAATGAAAATTTAACTACGACGGATGCAATTACAAGAGTATGCTTTAATCTATCTGGGGTATACTTTTTTTTTTAAACTTGAAAAATCTTTTGCTGTAACTGCTTAAAAAGTGTTAGCTGTAGGTTGACTTTAATTTATCACCTACTTAAAGTCTATTTAAAACGCTGTCACCCTGTTAAAAGAAGAGGAATATCAATAGATCTACTGACAGGGCACAAAGGTAATAAACATTTTTCACAAGGGGGACTCAGATAAACAAACAGTGCTGTGTTAATGATACTGACAGAGTGCACCATATATTTCATTTTCATTTAGCCCACAGTTCTACTTTAAATTGGACCAGTTATAATTGGTTATAAATCCAGCCTTAATTTTTGAGTTATTTTACAGCCCTACCTTCCAGGGATTATTTGAGTTTTGATTATATATTGAGATCTTCAGTACAGAAGATGTCAGGCTGTAAGGCCACCCTATCTCCCACCTGAACTGTCAAATAATACAGCTGCTGCCAGGATTACTGATTAATGAAAGAAAAAAATTTTGATAATTTTACCCTTCAGCAACCCTGGTAGAAGGTAAGTTATCAACCCAAGGTTGATAAGGTCAGTCTGAGATGGGAGCCTTACAGCTTTACAATGGGGTGACATTTCTGTCTGGAACTAAGGCTGAATTACTATAAAAACTTTAGTCAGCAGATTTAGATTATTGCAAATGCTCATTCTTATCTATTTTTCTCAAAACAGATAAAATAAATTTAGCATTTCATGTACTTCAGTTATGAAAAGAAAGGGCAACATGCATAAAACCGCAAAACTCACAGCCTTAAGATGCCAACATGCAAAAAAAAAAAAAAAAAAAAACAACACAAAATGCCAGAAGTTCATTGACAGATGCTTCATTCAGTTCTAACCAATCAGCAAACCTAACATAATAAAGGTTGATGCGCATAAACCGAGCGACTGCTGGACTGTGTGGTTCCAAGTTTTGAGAAAGAAAATTACTAAACTAACATCTCTGGACACCCCAGCAAGAGAACAAAAAACAACATTCACAGCAGGTGTCCCGCAAGTCAGATGTTTCTAGTAACTGCCATAAAAATTATTGCACAATGGATTGCACCCCTGATTAGGTGTCCTCTAATTAAAATTAAAGTATTCCCTTCTAGTTTGGAATTTAGTGGCACTAAGACAAGAAATGAGGGCGGGAAGGGCGGGACTACAGACAAAGCACAGTAGGTCAAAGCTGCTATAAAGTGCATATAGCTGCACACATGCCACTAATAGTCAAGATTCCTTACAGACTTATTCCTGTCATCAGGCAAGTGGGCTTCGTTCTTTCCTTTTCCCATCAGCCAGCCAATTTTCAGGGGAAACCAACTTCTACCGCCCTACAAAATGGTTTAAAGAGAAACAAGTGTGAGAACTACAGGTGTGAATGTGGCGACTAAACCTGAATATAATTAAGGTTTCGGACGTGTTCACCCAGCATCCCTTATGCTGCCATTGACAGTGCCCCTCTGCTTATGACAGTCATTTTGTTTTGAGCCAATTTTTTTTTAAATGGCGCCCATTCATTCAATAGGTCTTTGTTTCTGAGAAAACACTACCTTGTAAAAAAGGCCATAGGTTTCTAACAAACTGGTACAGTGTAGGTGGAATATTAAAAGAAGGCAACAAAAGCTGCTGTATAAGAAGCTACATACTACAGTGTGAAAGTTGTACCTTAGATCAGCCTTTGCCACTAAATAAGTTCAATTTCTTCTCTTCCAAATATATACTAAAGTTTAAGTGTTTTAACCTTTACTTTCAATTTTAAAAAACCCTTGCGTATCTTCTTCCTCTGAGGTTTGGTCTATTAGCAGGCTACACAATTAGCAATGTGCTCATCACCTAAGGGGTTAAGGTATCTTTGGGAATTTCTTTAAGCAAATATCCACTTCATTTCCTACCAAGAGTCCAGCACAGACTGCTGCAAGGCACTTACCCCTTGTGATGAATGATTGGCTTTGGGTTCTTTCTTAGGCACGATCCTCTCCGTTTCAGGAATGGCTGGAGGAGGGGGTGAAGGCTGAATCCCTATAGAACTCCTTCTGGTTGATCCAATAGAGTGGGTAGAGGACTCAGAGGTGGTCCGAGTCCGTCTCTAATCATAAAAACAAAAACATTTCAGGCTTTAGAACGACGTTATTAAATTTATGAGCAAGTAGGTAACCTGAAGATTTCAGCATATTCATTTCCCCAAACCAAAGTATTTCTCAGACATCAGGACTGAAGAAATTCATGTACTATAGTAATAATGGACTACTAAGAGAGAGGTAAGATAGGCACTACCCTTGTTTGAGAAGGTTAAGCTATGAAATTCTGGTGCCACTTACTTATACAGTGACAGCTGAGCCTGTTGCACCCAAGTCTCCTACCTCCCTAAGCTCTGAATCCTGCCATCGTAACAGCAAAGATGCCATGGGGCTAATGTGGGCATTATACACGGTTTCCAAAATTACATTAGAAGCATTATTAGTTTATTAAACAAGTAGAGGCAACCTCCATTGATGCCACAATATTATTCTCCTTAATATAGGACAGCCGGATGAACAACACTCTCAAATTCTGTTCTCGATAGGTGCCAGGTTGTGTTTAGCAAGATTCCAAACAAAATGAAATGGGGAGATCTCACAACCAAAGCAGCAAGGGTTGATAGATATAAGCCAGCAACTCCTTGAACTCAAAAACTGAAAATCTTGATTGGCTCACCAAGTCCATCCAGTAAAACAATGTTAACGTGTTTCAGCCTCTGTTGCCTTACTCATAGCATAATGCTATGAGTAAGGCCACAGCAGCTGAAACACATTAGCATTGTTTTACTGGATGGACTTTTGTAGCCAATAATGATTTTTATTGCTTGAGTCCACCGAGTTGCCGACATATCTATCAATGTTAAAAGTATTGAGGGACTGCACATCCCAGTCACGAGCACTGGTTTTCAGCCTTGGACAGCATCACCAGCAGTAGAGCTTGGGTATTGTATTCAGTGATCAAAAGCAGCAAAAGGTGGCAGAAACCTATATTCATGAATGTTCATAGAACCAGAAAACTAGAAGTAAAAACTGACCTGGTTAGCAACAAAAAGTTTTCCTTTTTTACGCAAACCAGTATAGATATCAAACTTACCATGTGAGCCGATGACTGGGACACAGTTCTAGATCTCTGTCCTGGGGCCTGTTAAATCAGAAGAATTATCTTATCAAAAGACACAAACCCAGATCTGATATTTTCTGCTTTATAGGTCAGAGCTACGAAAGGTACAAAGAAAACTGATGAAGTTTTCACTTTATATACGATAAACAGGAAGCATCAGTTGTAACCCAATAAGTGTAGCTGTCCTTTTACATGAACATGTCTGTACATAGACCGGGACAAACAGTCACAGGTCATACTTGCACCAGTAAAAGCAACAGCTCTATGTATAGAAATAAGACTCCCTGCTGTCAGTATGCACTGATCGAGCGGAAATTTTCCAACAAGCCCGTTTAAAGATTGATAGATCAACTTCTCATGAATGGGAAAGGCCATGTATGGACTAACATTCGGCTACGTCGATCTGCATATGGCCAGCATAAAATTAACATGGGCATGACAGTCACCCTTCTTCAATATCATGAAGTGCTGCAAAGTCTAACGATGCAATTACTAATGAAAAGATGACTACCATCCTCCAAGACTCCGATAACAAATTCCTAAAGGACTGGTCACCTTAGATGTCTTGCGTGTCCGGGTGGCCTTGAGGACCTGCTTTTGGCCATATAAATGCGAGGAGCTTTCAGTGGATGGGTAGTTATTCCTCCCTTCCCCTGCCTTTTGCTTCCCTTTCACCCCCCTTTTAATTTCTCCCTTTTTCTCCTTTTCTTATCCTGCTCTCTACTAGTCCCTCCTTATTTTCTCTTTATCTTACAATCCTTATTTTCATTCACTCCTCACTTCCTATAACTACAATTTTCATAACTAGCCACCCCTTTCTACCTGCTTTCCAAAACACACCTCCACATTTGTATACCAAATGTGCATACCACTACCTCACTGATACTGCATCAATATACCAAACTATAATCACTTATTCTATAGCTCCCCTAAGTGCTGCTCCGTATGCCTCTGTCTATACTGGGTACGCAGTTCTGGCAGTCTGTGTAATCTTGTTCTATATAATGCACATCTGCAACATGTCAGCTGAAAAAAATACCTTTGTCATCACCTTGTGTGACTTAGTTTTGCAATCTTTCTGAATTAGAACCAATAACATGCTTTTGAAATAAATAAGAAGCACAAATATTCAGCGGTTCATATGGTGGGGGGAAAAAAGAAAAAAAAAAAAAAAAAAAAAAAAAAAAAATCACCATTTTAGCCATTTCTCCATAGAAGTCAAATCCGGGGTCATGAAAGGTGGTTTTGGTGGGAGAATTCTGCGGCAGTCTTTGCACTGCTAAAAAGCAGAACAAATCACACAATGAAACAAACATACTGAATAATTACACAAAATACAGTACAGGTACAGAGATCCAAAAACAGGTTTCATAAAGCTCTCCTGCTTTGTCTAATAACCCACAAATTGTCAGATCAAAGTATAACTAAAAATATTAAAACACAACTAAAAAATATATTAAATTGCACCTCGCCAATTCAAACAAAATTGTGTCCTCGGTTTTTCTTTTTGGCTTTTTTCCTTTATTTACACTTGGTGATCCAGGCAGCAAGTATTTTTTTTAGCTTACTTTGACAGATCAAGCTGTCTAGACAATGTGGCATTTAGAGGGTTGAGAAAAACCATTTACCACTGATAAGGGTGCTTACAATGTTCAACTTTTATTTATGCAACACCTTTATCCAAAAACGTAAAAAAAAACCAGCTTGCTGCAACTGCATATAAAGTGTTAGCTAGAGTTCAGCTTTGTTAGTCAAGTCAATCTAAAACTGCTAATCTAAAGCAGAGTACACACTAAGGAAAAATTGGGGAAAAAATTCTGTAGGAGGAACGATTGTTCAATTATCTGTTTGTTTGTATAGTGCTTTCAACAGCTAATTCCGATGGTTAAAAAAAAACAAACAAAGGTGCAAGCTAGATCATTTGTTTTATCATATGTGAACACAAGGTCCACATTTTGCTCAATGTGTACAGTAATCGTACAAAAATTGAATAGAAAAAAAAGGTGCATGATCAGAAGCAAAGAACGACCCGGAAGTAGGTGACAAAGAACAAATCGAAAACAAAAACGAGCGTTTGCCTTTTTAGTTTGAAAAATTTCGTACAAAATTAATACCATTTTTGGTTACATCATGATACACACCTTCATGGAAAAATTGGACGATTGTTGATCCGATTTTCCTATAGCGTGCACTCCACTTAACACTACTCTCTTGCCAGACTGACAAATCTGATGTCCAAAGGTGTCTGCTTTATTATTTCTTGCAGAGTGCAGACACCTTAAGACAGGAAGTGTGATACTGGCTCCTTCATCAGTTAAAAGAAAAAAGCCTAAAAAAGCTGCCATATATTAGATCTTTGTGGGTTTAATACTGGCTAAAGGCAATTGTTAAAAAACGTTTTGGATACAGTGGAGAAGGTTAGGTTTTTATTGCCGTCTGTACCTATTCATTATGTTTACTTTTATCAACAAAAGCAAATCTAAATGGAAAATTCCAAATTTTGAGTTTTCCCAAGAGCAGCAGAAGAGAAATCTTCCAATGGGAAGAAGCAGTTCTGGTGACAACCAGGAATTCCCTCACTTCAGAGGGATTTCCTATCACTTCCTGTTTTGGTTAAGAGACAGGAAGAGAAGGGAAATCCCCCCCAATGGAACACAAAAAATTAAAAAAACATAACAGGGCTTATGGCCCTCCACTTACTCCATACAAAAAAAAAAAAAAAAAAGTTTTGCCTTTAGTTCTTTTGCTGATAAAACCAACTTTCTGGCGTGTGAATATGCCTCTATTATAGTAGGAAGGACAGAAGCTGTACACAGAAGAACAAGGTATAAGTCTGATGGAGGCAATTTCCTCATCGGGTTTTGAGAAATTAAATGGTTTGTCAGGTTGTCAAACCGTCTGCTTCTGGCGACACCCTGTGTGTGTTGTGGGCTCACCCTTATGTTTCCCTTAAGGAAATATGTAAATTTACATAACTAAAATAAAGCTAAATGTCAGCTTTCTACTCACTTGACTCCTGGTTCCACTGCTCTTGAGGTGTAAATTCGGTGGGTTGTGGAGGGGTAGGAGCAGGCTCCATAGTAGCAGGGGTATAACTAGGTACAGTTTCACTGCTGAAAGCTCCAAATCCTGGGCCAGACACTGGAGGGGAGAGTCCAGGTGAGGGGACAAAAGTCTGCTGTGTGACAGGGTAGAATGGCTCACTAACTGGAGTGGGCTGATAATTTGCAGTGTGTTCAGGACCTAGACAGCAGAAAAATCACAAAAGCTCATGTATACAAACACTTTTAAATGAGAACTTATTGTACAATCTCTGTATAATCTCCTTTATATTTACCAAAATTATGTAATGGGGGACATTCCTAATGTGGAATTAAAGCTAGCTGTTGGGCCCCTAGCATTGGTTAGTCATAATTTGTCAGTATGCATTGCATATTAGAACATTCTGGTAGACTTACCTGTCAAAGGATGCGGTCAATGCTCCAGATGGTCACGAGTGCTTCCACACATTCCTGCCCTTCCTTGCTTAGGCTGTTCGGCTGCTTAAATGGCTTGGCCATGATGACGTCATCCTGTTATTGTGCACAGGATGCACATCATAATGGCACACAGGGGTGCAGTAAATGTGTGCCGAGCTGCGCATGCAAAGCTCAATGTACATGAATACTGACAGGCAGGGTGAATCCTTCATGAACAATGGGGTCTTCTCCATAAAAACCCTATCAATTTTTTTTTTATTTTGTGTGCGCGAGTTAGCCCTGGACCTTGAGACGCCTCCTGAGAGAACTTATCTACAGAAAATTCTGGATCCTCAACAGCTTCCTCCTCACCCTGAGAACGTTCGTCTGACACCTCATCTCCCCTGCAATAGAGAAGAGGGGAAGAGAGCACTCACATCCCAGGTGTTTCAAACTAGTGAGGACCTGCTGGCCACGCAAACCAGAAATGACTGCTGAAAATTATTCCCTTGGCACAAAGGAAGTGAAGGACTGTGCCACTGGAGAGCGTAGAAATCCAGTAAAGACGGCGGTGTGTTGCGCCACGATCTGTATTGTTATACAAGCACTTCACAGCCCCAAGTTGCATAGAACACAAGGGGATTGCCACACTTTCCACATACAGAGGCACTCACCAATCTTTGCCACAGGCCAAAGGCCCACTCTTCAACCCTCATGACAAGCGCGCCAAATCTCCACATAGGAATATGCTGCAAAGGACCTGTACAGCACCCCTGCTAGCAAGGTCATCACATACAGGGTACCCCTGAGACTGCTGCCAACAGGATTCAATTCTGAAAGGAAACATTACAAGCTGTCTCTGCTCTTGTGGGGTCCGAGTATTGCCCCTTTTGGCCTCAGGGCCGTAGGCAACTGATCCAGATGAATCTTCTTCCTTTCCCCAGCAAGGGTGTGGAGAATAGGCCATGAATAGGAAAACTAATGCTAGTTGAAAGAAACAGTCAGAAAGACTTCGTTGGCACATCCATCACCTAAGGGCACTAGCTAAAAACTCAGGCTTAAGGGGTGGGGTTATGACTGAGCAGGGAATCCTTCCCTTTTTATGTCCAATCACCGGAAGGTGGAAGTATACTCCAGATATTCATAATCTTAAAGTATCTTGTGTCTGGTGATGTACAATTAGGAATATAGGCAAGTGTTTCACATAGCAGAGCTGGAAAAGAAAAGCGAAAAAAAAAAAAAGAAAAGAAAAGAAAAAGGAAAGACGTCTATCCTCCATCAAACTGGTGCATGCTGGTAGCAGGAGGGATGATCTTGGGCTGGCCTACAATTTTTCGTTTGCCAGTGTCAAATCCTGTTGCAGGCAGCCATATAACCAAAAAGATGAAAGACTTCTCGTGTTCCTCAATGTATGAGAAAAATCAGATATCTTCATATATTTTTTTTAATTATATATACAATTTTTAAACGAATATCAAATGTGTCTTGTTAGAATAATAAAGAAACCCAGGCTTGTTCCTATTTACAGCTAACTGGTGAGGACAGAATTAAGATGCACTGACTGCAAACTTAAATTTCAGATCAGTGACTTTTAGATAGAAAAGCCGAATCAGAACAGCCTGAGTAAGTGTTCTCTTACTGGACAAAATTTAAACAGTAGGGAAGGCTTAGCCCTAAAATCAGGACATTAAAAAACTAAGAGTGAAACTAAATCAGATGTGGCCACAAAGAAAAAAAAAAAAAAAAAAAAAAAAAAAAAAGGAGCTTTTTAAAGGTAATAAAGAACCACAAACCCCTTGTAGTATCTGCTCTTAGATATGAAGCCAGCAAACAGGTTCGCATTAACAGGGCTCCTCTTTTCGTACTACATATTCATCACTGTGAAGGCTGTAAGTGAAGAATTCTGGACCAGGACAAGCTGTATCTATTTATTATCACTATTATTGCTCCTGAACGTCTATTATAAACAATAGTGAAGGTAGTACAAACTACAAAGCAGAAAAAACAATTAAACCACCTTACCTGGAAGGGCCAACTGTATACCCTGGACAGGAGGAATCATGTTGGGGAGGAGGTTGGTCAGTAAAGGATTATCTGTATTAGGGAGCCCATCATGGGCTATTGTCATGCCATCGGACTGGCTGATGTGATCCTGTTCAGAGCTTGGCGTGCTGCAGGCATACTGGGGGGGAGTGGTTCTACCAGTGTTATATACCACAGTGCCTTGCTGAAAACAAAGAATAAGGGGGTTATCTGTGCTGTCTGCACAGGTGTCTGGGTTCCGCAAAGCTACTAAATCTTAAATTCAAGCAGAGTCTCTTTTGCTGTGTATAGAATCCCAAAATTTCAATTATTTGACCTCATACTGCCTTCTATATTCTAAGGCAGCAAAAAATAACCAGATTCGAGTCAACATTTTCCTACTTCAAATTAAAAAAAAAAAAAAAGTTACTGTTTTACATACACTTTAATGAACAGAACCCAGCATTCTGGCGTCATATAAAGATCACATATTGAACCTTGGAGACTATTTCTGAAGTTAAGGATACAGCACAGGCCTTATTTTAGATGATCTCCCAACCCTGACTCTCCAGTTCTAGAGTCAGTTCCAAAGAGTTAAAACAAAAAAATAAAAAAAATTATATATATATATATATATATATATATATATATATATATATATATATATATATATATATATATATATATATATATATACATATATATACACACACACACACACACATATATATATATATATATGTGTATATATATATATATATATATATATATATATATATATATATATATATACACACACACACACACACACACACACACACGATATTTAGTATACACAAACAATATAATAAAGAAGTTTTTTTAGTTAACTATTAAATATGATACTGCATCAAGTAAACATACCTACTATATACATAGGATACTATACTATTTCAAAAACGATAGTCCATGGGTGACAATTTAATATACTTTACAGGTTAACGTGGACCTAGAATTCTTGCTCCCATTTTGAAGTTTGTAGCAATACTCAACATTTGTGGCTTAACAGCTTTTCCATGGACACCATATGCAGGCATTTGCATGTGTGTACGGGGTTATTTTTTTTCCCTACATTTAACTGCATTTAAATTTTAACACTTTATGTTTTTAACTTTACATTTAAAGAGTAAAAAAAAAAAAACATTCCCCTCTGGGTGATCAACATACGTTGCAATGATTTTAAAACTTTGTAGTAGATTCCTACCGGTTTCTGCACTGAAGAAAACTCTGTTTGCTTGACTATGTTGTTTGGATACAGAATCTGAATGAGAGTAACTAACTCAAGTTAATCAGCTGAGGTGCATTCTGTGTTGTGATGGGAAAAGTTGCAGCGTCTGAATCTCTTTAGAAGTGTAACTAACCCTTAAGGATATTTGTTTTTTTTTATACCAAAAAACGTTTTTGTTACAGCGCATGCCTAAAACAAGACCACTATCTTAGTGAAAAGTCCTTCATCCAAGCAGGAAAATACATTTCTGGGGGGTGGTTTATACACCAACTGTGTGCACAATGCCCCAGGTTGCAATTTTGCATTAAACTTCACAGAAAATTACAGTACTGCAGTTGGAAAAGAAAATTTAATGTTTAAAATGAAATTACAATATGGTTATTGCAGCAATTGTACAGTGGGTATAGGAAAGAATCACCTGCCTTTAAAATAATCAAATTTTGTTGCTTTGCAGCCTGAAATGAAGACAGACACAGTTTGTGTTTTATCCAGCTGTATTTACTCTTATAACATCCAAGTGAAAGAAATAACACCAACATGTCAGAAATTTAAAAAAAAAAAAAAAAATAAACACGAATCACTGAGTTAGAAAAAGGATCACCCCCTTGTATCAGTATTTTGTTGAACCAGCTTTTGCTTTAATTCCAGCCTTTAGTCTGTTGGGATATGTCGCTACTAACTTTGCACATCTAGACTTTGCAATATTTGCCCACTCTTCTTTGTGGAACTGCTCAAGTTCAGTTAAATTTGATGGTGACCGTTTGTGGACTGCAGTCTTCAAGGCATTCCACAAATGTTCAATGGGGTTTAAGTCTGGGCTCTGACTAGGCCATGTAAGGACATTCACCTTGTTCTCCTTCAACCACTGTGTGGTCACATTTTTGCTGTGTGTTTTGGGTCATTGTCATGTTGGATGGTAAACCTTCTTCCCATTGTCAACTTTCTGGCAGAGGGCAGTAGGTTTTCCACAAGAATTTGACAGTATTTTGCCCCATCCATTTTTTCTTCTATCCTGACAAGTGATCCAGTCCCTGCTGCAGGGAAACCCCCATAACAGGATATTACCACATCCATGCTTTCCTGTAGGAAAGGTGTTATTGTGGATGGTGAGATGTATTGGATTTCAACCAGACATATTGTTTATTGTTTTGGGCAAATAATTAAATTTTAGTCTCATCTGACCTTTTTCCATGGGGCCTTAGAATCTTCAAGGTGCGTTCTGGCAAAGCTCAGTCGTGACTACATGTGGCCTTTCTTGAGGAGTGTCTTTTTTCTTTGCAACCCTCCCATACAAGCCAAATTTGTGGAGGATTTGTGATATTGCTTTCTCATGCACACAATGACCACTCTTTGTCAAATTCCTGCAACTACTTCAGAGGCTCTTGGTAGCGACTATGACCAGTTTCCTCCTGGCTCTTTCATCCAGTTTTTGGGGAGGGTCTGTGTTGTACCAAAATATCTTCCACTTCTTAATAATAGACTACACTATGCTTCTAGGCAAGGTAAAGCCTTTGAATTTTTTTTGTATCCACCTCCTGACTTGCGCCTGTCCACAAACTTTACCTCGGAGATCTTTTTTTTTTTTTTTAATCATCTTTAATTAAATTTTATTTTAGTACATAAACAAATATCAGCAATATACAAATTTATCACAACATCTTTAATCCCACTAATTATCTTAACCCCACCTATCCGCCCTACTCAACCACTAATTACCCTGACCAGCTCTTCTTAACCTGTCTATTACTCCCATACACATCCCTATATTATCTTCTCCCATTACCATTTTCCATTCTCCACTTCTGTGCCCAAGGCACTCATTATTTCACAATATTTTCCCAATGTTTTGAACACATATCAGCTACTCCAATCTTCTCTAAATTTATGTGATACAACTCTTCCATCCTATATACTGTACATACTCAATCTTCCTTATCAAGTCTCTCACTGTTGGGGGTCCCTTAAGTGCCAAAATTTAGGTATAAGCCCTTTTGCAGTGCTAATAATATGAAATAAACACACCCACTAATGTTTCTGAACAGCTATCCCCCCGAATCTCCTGTATCAGCTGGATTACCTCCTGCCAAAACCCCTGAATTCTTGGACATTCCCACCATATGTGGGACATAGTTCCTCTCCTACCACAACCCCTCCAACACAGTGGAAAACCATTTATAATTAATTTCTACTGTGTTTATATTCACCATCCTGTGCATCAACTTAAATATTTTGTTTTTCTGTTGCTCATTCAATTTTGTGCCCAACTCTCTCTCCCACTACTCCGGAGATCTTTTGACAGCACCTTGCCACCAATAGTTTATTATTTGCTTCAGTTGCACTACTTGGGACTGAAATGCTTCAGGAAAGCTCTTTTCATGCTGAGATAATCAAATGACCACAGCTGAAAGTCACATGGCTTTGTGTTTTCTAACATATTGGTGTTATATCTTTCACTTGGATGTAAATACAGCTAAATAAAACAAAAACTGTGTGTCTTCATTTCAGGCTGCAAAGCAACAAAATGTGAATCTTTTCTATACTCACTGTATATGCTATTTTTTGCCATTTTTTTCCTTTCCAAGTTACCTTTGACCTCTTGCTGACCGCTGTTCATATGTATGTTTCAGCGAAGGGAACTCTTAAGGCGTCAGCAAACCAATACATTCTAGACAATTTCATGCTCCCAACTTTGTGGGAACAGTTTGGGGATGGCCCCTTCCTGTTCCAACATGACTGTGACCCAGTGCACAAAGCAAGGTCCATAAAGACATGGATGAGCGAGTTTGGGGTGGAGGGATTTGACTTGACTTCAACCCGATAGAACACCTTTGGGGTGAATTAGAGCGGAGACTGCGAGCCAAGCCTTCTCATCCGACATCAGTGCCTAACCTCAAAAATGCATTCCAGGAAGAATGGTCAAACATTCCCATAGACATGCTCCTAAACCTTGTGGACAGCCTTCCCAGAAGAGTTGAAGCTCTTATAGCTGAAAAGGGTGGGACAACTCAATACTGAACCATATGGACCAAGACTGGGATGCCATTAAAGTTCATGTGTGTGTAAAGGCAGGTGTCCCAATACTTTTGGCAATATAGTGTATATTCACACATATATATATACTTTTTTTTTTTTTCTTTTTACATCCAGCAGTCTGGTAAAAGTGATTCGAGCAGCTTTACAGCCACCCATGTACATTTATGATACAGTGAAGGGCCGGGCACCTGTAGTAGTTTCCGGACCATTCCTCTGGTGAGTCCGGGACCATAGTAAAATGGCTGGGATCCCTTCACACAGAGAAGAAGAAACATTTGTTCCCTAATCTCTTCTGTGACAAGTGAAGGCAGAAGCAAGGAACATTTAATCACTTACAGCTTCAGACCTATTATTCCCTGGCTGTTACAGCCAGGGAATCAGCTGATCAAACACAATCTGTGCTTGAACAGCTGCTCTGGAAGGCTGGGGAGACACTGGGGGGTCTAATAGACACCTGGGGGTTTATTTACTAAAGCTGGAGAGTCCAAAATCAGACTCCCGTCTGCATAGAAACCAATCAGCTTCTAACCTCAGCTTGTTCAATGAAGCTTTGGCAATGAAACCTGGAAGCTGATTGGTTTCTATGCAGAAGTGAGTCTGATTTTGCACTCTCCAGCTTTAGTAAATAAACCCCCTGATGTCTCCATATAGAGTACCTGTTACTGGTCAAAGCTATCACATAGGGTGCTTGATAGCTTCCTTGTAATAGCAATAAAGTTAAATAAATAAAAAAAAACACAAGATTAAAACAGTAAAAAAAAAACCCTCAAAACTAGTTAAAGAAAATTACAAGCGCCAGGTAACACGTTCTCTTTATGGAGACATTTGGGATCTGTTAGACCTGTAATTTCTCACCTACCCTCTACTGCAGCTATCAAGCACAGATTGTGCTTTAGCAGCAGGCGATTGACAAATCTGAACTAGAAATGTTTGTCATGCCCGGGTTCATTCATCGCAGGAGTGATTGGAGAACGAGCGCCTCCACCGCGGCATCTTAATCGTGGTCTTGGGCTAGGAAACCACGGTTGGCAACTCTTCACAGTGTAGTAAAGTGATTGGATGGCTGAATGGCTGCCTGGATCACTTTAACAGAAAGGTTGGTAGCCAACTGAAATAAACAAAAAGCAACAAAAACAAGCACAGTACTGAGTTTGGAGCTGCAACTGCAAGCTTGGTTGAACCATTTGAAATCCAGGCCATTTCTAAACAGCCTATGGGAGGCAGGCGGATAAATTATATCTTTAAATGACACGTTATTATTTTATTCTAACTACATAAGGCAGTATTCCACACCCAATTCAGTTCTTTTCAAGGAACAGTTCCATTTTGCTAGTAATATAAATTCACCTTCATCTGCATATCCAGGTGACGGAGTCGAACCAACCACGATGGCTCTACAAACAACTCCTGTTCTGGTTTCTCTTTCAACTGAGGGTCAAAAAACCTCAAATGTAAGGTTACCTGGGAAGAGAATTTACAAAAATGTAATTTTCTGGGAACACTAAACTTCTTATTTAGACAACCAAATAAACCAAAGAGGCAGCCATCTTTCATCTGTATATAACTTGTCTGCTACATTTTTACTTGTAGTCTGGTAACTAAAAACTTGCAAGATTAAACCTTATACTACTAAACATTAAATATAATGATTAGCATTTTTTATATCTGAAAGCACAGAACATACTGACAGATCAACACCCTGATACAGCAACCTGCTAGGACACAGGAAAGTAATCCCAATGGTAGGAGCAAGTTTTCAATTTGTGCTCTGACGCAGGACTAATACCTCAGGGGCCTGCTGTAACCCCCTATAAAGAAGGGCAACCATCTTTAAGTTTTCTATTTTCTAAAGCAGCCTTTCTGAAACCTTTAAAAAACCTTCAGGTTTCTGGGAACCCTGAAATTTTTTTTTTTAATCTACAGCTCACACAAGGTTACCGTGATCAGTGAGTTGTAAATAAAGGCATAAATTATAGCATTTCCACAAACACAAAACACTGAATTGGTGCTCTGTGCAAACATAAACAGTGCACTGGTATTCAGCGAATGTATTTATTTTAACAGTGTCACTGAACCCCAGCTGAGAAACCATGTTTTAAAGTCTGCATAGTTTAATGTTCTCAATTCCTTTTTCCATGTCTGTCAGATTTTAGCCCCCAGTTACACACCCACACACACCCCAATTCCTCCTGCTCCTTTTTACTTATTAAGTGTTCTTGCATGGCAACACCACTTACTGTTATCTCACATATATATTCTTATTATAGCCAAATTTACCACCCTAACTCCTCCCACAGTTTTTACACTACATAGACAGTAATATACCGAAACGTGCGGATTGTTCCCGATTGGTGTGCGGATTGTTCCCGATTGGTGTGCTATTACTTTTTGAAACGTTTTGCCAAATGGTTCACAAAATATCAGTGTTTTTGTGGTGAAATTGGTCCCATAGGAATGAATGGCGGAATGTTCAAAACTAGAGAGTGGGAGCTTACAAAAGCTAGAGTGTGAGCTCAAAAATCAGGACATGATTTCTAAACTGCCATCACTCCCTCATTTTCAAGCCCACCTACACAAATCTTATATAAAACGTTCAGCTATCCCTGCTGCCACTAAAAATGTCCACGGCTAAGCCATAGTCCTGATAGTTTTCACAATATGACCATTTGTTTGCAACTCACGCCGCCATTGACCTTTTCACAGTTACTCCAGCCACTCCAACCACCCAGTTACTCCGCCCACTCCAGTTGTAGACTACTGGTGGAGACAAGAACACTTCACACAATTTCCCCAGAAATTGTAGCTTTTCTAGTTCATTTTATTATCCCAAATCCTCTATTCTTCTATCATCCCATGTGATTTACCATTTTCTTTTCCTGCTCCTTTTACCCTTATTACTGCCAGCCCTGTTCTCATGACAACACAGACGCGAACTGCTTTGTGTACAATTGCTCTTTCGTATCATTGCTATTTTTTCTTGCTTTGCCTACAGTACTGGTAACCTGAGATCAAACCCATTTGCAAGACAAATCTCTGTTGAGCACAAGTCTTCTGCATAAAGAGAATGGATTTTAAAAAACCACTGTTGGGTAGATCGTAATCCACTGCAACGGTGGAGGAGCCCCACTGGACCTCTAGTGGAAGTGGAACCCCAGTGTTCCGCAGAACCTCAGTTGAAGTACTCAATCCTATAGTCAAGCTAAAAGTAAAGTGCTGAATCATTCCAGACACATAGGTTTATGAAGCAGTAGTCACCTCAAGAAGCTGGCTGACGAGTACAGAGGAGTAATATGATGGATGTTTAAGAATGGTCTTTGCGATGACTTCACAGTAATGGAAGGCCTGGGCTGAGAGGCCATGCTCAGCAAGTCGGCAAGCATAGATAAACTTGTAAACCTGCAAACAGGTATGAGAGAAAGTGTTATGATCTCCACAATGACAATATAGATACATTACAGCTTTATGCAGAGCAGAAATCCACACCTGGATATTGGGTAGGGAGATGGTCTGAGTGCCCAGGGATTGGGCATACTCATATGCTTCAGTCCTCTGAATAGCCTCATTGGTTGCAAACTTGGCAAAAGATAAGCTAAAAAAAAAAAAAAAAAATATGAGTTGACTTTTCTCATTGTGTTAAATTAAATCTACAAGTTCCCTCGGATTTGAGAAAGTTTCTAATTGTTCTTGGCAGAAAGGATTCCTAGATATACATTGCTTGTAATGGTTAGTGTATTTACTTGAGCACATTACAAAAGCTGGAAATCATTTTTACTGTTAAACTTTACAAATTATTTCAATAGTATTGCTGTCAGTGAGGGACATGCTGACAGTAAGAATGTTGGCTTAGTAGTAAGAACTCAGGTCACCTTTGCTAGATTACCTTTCTAGGATGCCAAGCATTGCCCATTATACTAAGAATGAACAATAAAACAAATTTGACCTGAAGAGCGACAGTATTCTCACCTATGGTTGGAGCCAATAAGGACAAGCTTGGTTGTTTTCTTTGTGTAAACTCCAAAACCAAGTTGGGCCATAATGTAGCAGAAGTGAGCAGCATCTAAGAGTCCTCTGGAAGCTTATAAAGAAACAGGCATGTAAATTCAACTAGCAAACGTCACAGGGAAATTATAGTTTTTTGAAATGTTTGTTTTAAAACAGAATTACTCCACAATATATATTTTCCCAATGATGTTACAAAAAGAACAAAACTCACAATTATACATGTATTCATGTATATAGGGGAAGCCAGATCTACTAATATTATATAAATCTATGCTTACTGCTTTAAAGAACTACATAACGGTTTTGCATACTGTTCGTTCCCTTAACCACTTGCCTACCAGGCACTTATACCCCCTTATTTACCAGGCCAATTTTCAGCTTTCAGCGCTGCCACACTTTGACTGACAATTGCGCGGTCATGCAACATTGTACCCATATGAAATTTTGATCATTTTTTTCTCACAAATAGAGCTTTCTTTTGGTGGTATTTAATCGCCACTGGGCGCTTTACCTTTTGCGCTATAAATTAAAAAATTGCAAAAAATTTGAAAAAAAAAAAAAAAGTTTCTGTTTCTATTATGAAGTTTTTCAAACAGGTATTTTTTCTCCTTCACTGATGTGCGTTGATGAGGCAGCACTGATGGGCACTGATAGGCGGCACTGATAGGCAGCACTAAAGGGCACTGATAGGCAGTACTAATGAGTGTCACGGATAGGCGGGCGGCACTAATATGCAGCACTGATAGGCGGCACTGATAGGTGACACTGATGATGGGTACTGATAGACGCCACTGACTGGCATCACTGCTGGGCACTGACTGGCGGCACTGACTGGCACAACCCCTGGGCACTGACTGGTGGCACTGACTGGCAGCACTGCTGGGCTGCACTGGTGGGTGGGCACAGGTGGGTGGCACTGGTGGGCACAGGTAGGTGGCACTTCTGGGCACAGGTAGGTGGCACTGCAGAGTGGCACAGGTGGGTGCACTGCTGGGCACAGGTGGGTGATCTGCTGGGCACAGGTGGGCGGAGCTAGTGGGCGCACTGCTGGGCACAGGTGGGCGGAATTTGCGGGTGGCATTGCTGGGCACCGATCATCAGGGCACTGATCATCAGTGCCCTGATGATTGGTGCCGATCCCCGCTCTGACAACTGCCGGTTCTCGGTAGTACTTTCCTCACGATCTGACAGCGTGAGGAAAGTGCAGCCGAGAACCGGCACTTGCATTTCCCTGTGATCAGCGTGTCATTGGACACCGCTGATTCATGTGGTAAAAGGCCGGTATGATTGGCCTTTTACCACATCACGTGATCAGCTGTGTCCGTAGGACACAGCGATCACGGAGATCGCGGGGGCGCGCCCCCTGGGGCGCGCAGGAGAGGAGCGCGTTCTGGGAGGACGTCATATGACGTCCACTCAGAACTGGCCGGCCGCAGTTTAGCCGTCATTCGGCTATCTGCGGTCGGCAACTAGTTAATGGAACACTATACATTATCATAGCCTTGCAATTTATGTTGAAATTCTCACCCACCTCCAGCATATTATAATGCAATGTGGGGGATATCAATAGCAACTAGAGACACCTGCAATTTCCCACATTTTTTTCCCAATTTTATTGCCCGCAAAATTTATTTCCAAGTATATTCATTAAGGGCCCATTCACACTAAAGCGTTACAGTAACAATTGGTAAAAACACACCTCTTGTGTGTAACCACAATACATTTTATATGGCATATCAATACACTATTACCATAATGGGCAATGGAACTGCACCGCATCGCACAGGGGGTTGATTTACTAAAACTGGAGAGTGCAAAATCTGATGCAGCTGTGCATGATAGCCAATCAGCTTCTAACTTCCGCTTTTTCTTTTTTTTTGGCAAGCCTTAATTGAACAAGCTGTTTTGTTTGTATGCAGAGCTGAACCAGATTTTGTACTCTCCAGTTTTAGTAAATCAAGCCCGAGGCATTTTTCATGCATACAAGTGCACTGCCAGTCACTTCAAAATAAAAGGGCTGCTCTAATGAACACATGACAGCCCGATCCATTAAAGCAATGCACAGTGTAAATGGGATCTACAATTAACAGACCAACATTTTTCTCCAATTCCTCTATACTGCAGGGTAAAATTTTCACCTCTCTAAAAAGGTATCAAACTTACCCAATGTGTCTCCCATAGTAGTCATGGTTCTCGTTGGTACATCAAGGTTATTGGTTATATTCGACGACAATACCATAGCAAGATGGGGTCTCCAATCGCCCCATTTCTCATCTCCACAACACTGTAACAACCACATAAAAATTTTAATATCAAAATACCCTCATCATGGCCAATAGTAAACCCACAAACAAGACACCAAGGCATAATGACATGTAAAACAAAACATAAGAATTCCTTAAAGAGCAACTCTACTTTTTTGGCGAAAAAAAATATTCCCCTCTGGGTAATCAATGCATGTTGCAAGGATTTTTTAACAAAGTTTGTTGCAGACTCCTACCTTCTTTTATTCTGAAAAAAATGGCTGGCTGTTTGTGTTCATGTGCAAAGTGAAAGTGAATGGAAGTGATTTTATAATTATCAATCAGCTGCTGCACTTGCAGATTACTAATGAGGGGGAGGGGCAGGGACACAAGTTTCCTTTGGGAGTATCTCACCAAAAATGAAATTTTGTTGAAAGATGCCTAAAATTTGACTTGTACCTTGCAGACTTCTGGGAAAAAGCAAGATATGACATTTCTGAGGGGCGTTTTGTACACCGTTTGTGTACAGATCGCCTTCAGTTTACCATATTGTATTGCATTTTACAGAAAATTACAGCACTGAAGATTGAAAAGGAAAGGTAATGCTTAACAACAGTCCATTACGTTTATGACTTGTGAAGCAATAGTGTTTGCTATTTTTTAATTCCTTTTTTGTCCACATGAAAGTGGAGTTACCCTTCAAACACAACTCTATTCTTGTCTGCTGCCCATCCAAATACACTACTTCAAATATTGCATAAATGTCTCAAGACACACTACTACACTGCAATTTTCAACCGATTTTAGTATGACTTTGGTTGCATTTTGAACGTAGTTTGCATATCCTATGGGGCCAAGTCATACTGTAAATCGCACCAAAGTAGTACAACAACCTTTTCCAAAACCATGCCACATGAAGCCATATTGATGTGCACGGACACCATTGAAATGAATGGGATTTCCCTTGTCATGCGATTCCGTGTGACTCAAGCATCTGAAATCACACCAGTGTGAACCAGGCCTTGGGCAACATAACTATACAGGCCTGCAAGCAGAGGCACAATTTTCAGAGGCTCACCGTGGCTGCAGCAGGCATCCTTCCAGACAACAGTTGATAGACTGTCTGTAGAGGGTCATTAATTGGGAGACTGTTGGCAAACCTGAATAACCAGAGAGCAGTTTAGTCATTAAAAAATTATTATTAAGGAATAACTGGACCTTTATCAACAAATTGGTATAAGGCCTCCCCTCTCCTCCTAATCAATTAAGGTATATAATACACATTTGCCAGCTGCAGAATTAAGTTTGTTTTACTTGCTGTGATCTGTCTGCTATTCCATAAACCTCCCCTCTTCCATGCCTTCTCCAGCACAAGATGCCCGTTATGGAAGTTTATATGTGCATGCCATATCCAAAATTGGCTAAACTGGGCACTATCATGTAAGTTATGTAACATGCAGTATACCATGACTGACTGAAAAACAGGGGAGGCAATTCACAAATTTACAAAGGAACAGCTACCTTTTATAAAATAAACCCAAGAAAATATTTAGTTTCCATTTTAGTATACATATATTCCTTCAAACGGGACAAAATAATTTTCAATTCAACAAGTGTAATTGACTTAAATGTGTGTTACAACTGTTACCACACACAGACTCCAAGTTGAAATCAGTTTAACAACGAAGGGCCAGTTGAACGGGTCTGCAGAATTGCAGGAAATATGCACTCATGTCTCCTACACTATGCAGTTGTACAGAACTAATTAGGATTTTACTGTATTAATTTTTGCAACATGGTTTGAATGAATTTAAGAAAACATTTTTTGTGTGTGCAAACTAACAAATCTTGTTTGCAATCAATGGCCTGCATTTGTGGGAGTATTTTGCAGTATAGTTTGGTAGAGGAGGAATTATGGTGTGGGGTTGTTTTTCAGGGGTTTGGTTTGGCCCCTTATTTCCAGTGAAGGGAACTCTTAAGGTGTCAGCATACCAAGACATTTTAGACAATTTCAGGCTCCCAACTTTGTGGGAACAGTTTGGGGATGGCCCCTTCCTGTTCCAACATGACTGTGCACCAGTGCACAAAGCAAGGTCCATAAAGACATGGATGAGCGAGTCTGAGGTTGAAGAACTTGACTGACCTGCACAGAGTCCTAACCTCAACCCGATTGAACACCTTTGGGTTGAATTAGAGCAGAGACTGCGAGCCAGGCCTTCTCATCCGACATCAGTGCCTGACCTCACAAATGTGCTTCTGGAAGAATGGTCAAACATTCCCATAGACACACTCCTAAACCTTGTGGACAGCCTTCCCAGAAGAGTTGAAGCTGTTATAGCTGCAAAGGATGGGCCAACTCAATATTGAACCCGACAGACCCTTCTATTGTTCCCAGATTCCTCCCAAATCTCCAAGCTCCCTTGTTTTTGTTGCTGAGATCTGACTTCCTGTTGAGGGATGGCTATGTTTGTTCTCTACGGTCCCAATGTATGTAGGAACATAGCCATCCCTCTTTTGCTCACTCCGAAGATGGACTAGATACATGGTTTATTGGGTTTGTAGTGTGCAAAGAGCAGTGCACATAACAAGTGCACTACTCCTTTCAAAAAGTGAGGGAGAAAAAGGAAAGGTTTGGGTACTCATGGAGGACATTACAAGGAGGCAGAGAGAAAACACAGTAAGAAACTAATAAAAAAAAACAGATTATGTGACTATTAAGTAATGGATGTGTACAAATTATGTTTTGAGAATAAGGATATTGTGTAGTATCACTTTAACAGTGGACAGTGCAGTCTGCAGCCAATCTGTTAGCATGGAGAAAAGGTTTGGGGGGGAATGGGGAAGCAGAGGCTGTCTTGCCATCATTGGCTACAGGACTGGTGTGTTTCTAATAATGCACACAATATAGGAAGGTGCAACTCTAGTCCCTGCATGAAAGTGGCTCCATAGAATGCTGGAAGAGAAAGCAGCCACCCTTAAAACAGGAAACCTGGGGCAGTACTCATGGCACACCAGCTTGAACAGACACATAGGTAAGGATTAAAAGAAAAAAGGAGTTTCCATTGACTTATCCAGTCATCCTATTTTATGGACCTTTATAGTGGAAAATTATCTAATCAACTTTAATATATCTTGACTTCCTAATTAAGAGGCTGCCCAGTTTACATTTATTGCTATACACGCTTGCTTTCTTTGCTAAGCCTTTGCCATTTCCAGACATCCTTTTAAGCTACGGCCCTGAAAAGTATTCATCTGAAGTTAGCGCTAGAGGGTCCCTGGTCCTGGCCACAAAGAGAGGTAGTTTGTTTTTGAAACTGGAGGCTAAGCTGTCTACACATCTGGGATGCCCATTTCCGACATTTCAGTTTAAAGATGTCAAAGTGAAGAGTACATTCTCCCTGATCCTGACGGTGATGACTGAGGTAGTCCACTTTCCCTCTGACCACTCCTAGGATGTGGAGGGATCACTGGACAGCGAGTTTCCATCTATAAGATTATCAGCTTGCTTCCTTCAAGGCTGCATGACTTCTGGTGCCCTCATGATGGCTGATGTAAGCCACGGTCTTTGGCATGGTCTGATTGGTGCCCGATTTGGTGTCCTTACAGAAGTGGATTCCAGTGTTGCAGAGCCATCCTTATTGCTCTGATCTTCAGGAGGTTGATGGGAAGCTTGGCTTTTCCAGGCAACCATGTTGCCTGGATAGTGAGGGATTGGAACAGTCCTCCCTTGCCTGAAAGACTAGCATCTGTTGCTATCACATTCCAGTGATAAGGTAAGAAACACTTGTTTCTTTTTTTAATCTTTATTTATAAGCATATATCAAACATAGTAATGAATCCAAAAGAACAGCAGACTCCAATACAATTCAGGTTAAATAAAAAAGACCTCTGCACTAATTTGCAACAATGAATGCTGCATTATGCAAACTGTTCGATTTTGTCTGGACGACTTATTGTTAAAGCAGATCTTCACCCTCCACAAAGTTCTTCCTTCTCTACCCCACCTCTACACGAATAGCGCCATTTTTTACATTTACTTTTTTTGTGTAAACTGCGCAGCCATTCACCTAGGCGTAAGAGTGTGCACAGTGCTCACTGTGCCTCCCAAGATATGCACATCACATATCCCAGGAGGACTCAAGTCTTTCATTCACAAAGGAGGAGGGGATGACCTAGATGCACTTCATCCTAACGGCGTCAGAAGCAGCATGGCAGGCTGGGACCGAGAAGTGTCTCACAGCAGTACAATGCTGGATCCTCTGGGTGGGCGAGTATGTGAACTGTGCAGAAACCACCATCCGGTAAGCATGGGTTAGAAGAAGAAAAAAGAAAATCCACCAAGCTACAAAATTCCTTGCTTGGCTTGATAGGGCCAAGAGTAGGTTAAGAGAAAGAACATGCATGTTTCAAGTTGACAAGATGCTGTGTTGAAGAGGTATTGAATGAAATGTAGCTACCATGAGGCCTAGAACTGTCATTGAGAATTTCATGGTGGGGTGTATCTTTGACTTCAGTTTGTGAGCACAAGCCCAGAGAGAGACAAATTTTCTTTTTGCAAGGAAAAATTTTGCTTTGGATGTGTCAAGACCTGACCCAAATATTCCAGGCAAAGTGAAGGCTGAAGAGCAGATTAAAAAAAAAAAAAAATTGATAACCGAATGCCTGGAGCATCTGACCTGTCCTATGGACATCTGCAGACAGTTGGAAAGGAGATGTGTTCTTCAAGAGAAGGTAGTCCAAATAACCTGCAACTTGGATGGCAAGAGATCTGAGAATCAGAAGAGGTGCCAGGACCTTTGTGAATACTCTTAGAGCAGAGGATAGACCGAAAAGCAGTGGAAGAAACTGGAAAGAACTGTGTACCACTGCAAAGCGCAGAAAATGCTAATGAAGTGAATTAAAATATGCAGATGTTTACAGATGCCAGGTATTCCCTTGTCTCAGAGATCTAAAAATTGTGGTTTCCATGCAAAATGTTGTAATAATTTGAAGGTATTTGTTAATAGATTTTAAGTTTAGAAAACGCCGAATACCTCTGTAGGGCTTTGTTACCATGAACAAGTTTGAATAGAAACCTTTGAACCTGTCTTGTGGAGTACTGGAACAAATACTACCTGGGACAAAAGATGTTTCAGTGCATTCTGCAAATTTTAGTTGGTTTTAAAGAAGAAAACAGAGTGGGTAGAGTTTTGAACTATATTTTGTACCCACTGAAACCACCAAAAGATCCCACAGGTCTGAGACTCAGAGATAGGCAAACTGTAACAGAAGTACCCCCACTTTTAGGAGTAAGGGCTACTCTTCCTTTGGAAGAGGGCATTGAGGGGGACTTGGTGGGTTTCATGCTTCAACTCTTGTGCTGAAAGGAAGGACTGAACTTAGGTTTTGAAGATGAAGTAAAGCAATTAGATGCTCTGCATTTTCAGGAGGTAGTGGCTCCTGAAGCAAGGGATTTTGAAATCATCCACTGTGAAAGGAAAACCTTTCCTCTTGTGAAGTCTTTTGAATTGATCAAGTGCCTCCCTAAAAGACGTCTACTTTGTAAGGGCAAATAGGTGAGGCATCCATAGAAAAAAAGCAGAGAAAAAGGATCAACTTTGTTGCTCATTGCCCTAGTCCAGTTTGCTGCTATTTAACATACTAAAATACAATGAGAGCTAGTTGCGGGACTGCGTCTGCAAGAGTAAAGAGCCTTTAAGGGCACCTCAGACTTTCTATTTGCAAAATCTTTGACTGGAGGAGCATCCTCAATTTATACAGTGAGATGTTAGAAAGACATCAGAATCGACTACAGGAACAGACCCATTTTTAGTGAACTCTTTCCACTGGATAAAGTTTTGCAAACCATTTTGAAGGAGTGAAAATCTCTGCTGGAGTGATCCAATCGTCAAAGATTGCCAGTTCTATTTGTCCATGAACAGGGAATGTCTTAATAGATTTTGCAGGTCTCTTTGTACCCAAAGAGGCATGGTGAGTTGGAGAAGAATCAAGTTCTACAATGCAGAGGCTTCTGCACACAGAAGCAGAGAGTCTATCAACATTAGCATGCATGCAGTGTGAAGCACCCACTTTAGATGTAAAAGTGTGCAGGATTTAAGAAAAAAAAAAATCTTCTGCAGCCTCCTCTGCTACGGTTTCTATACCATGGGTACTCAACCTGTGGCCCTCCAGCTGTTTTGGAACTACAAGTCCCACGAGGAATTGCAAGGCTGACAGTTACAAGTATGACTCCGAAAGACAAAGGCATCATGGGAATTGTAATTCTGCAACAGCTGGAGGGCCACCGGTTGAGCACCCATGCTGTATACGCTCCTCTTTGCCTTCTGTGTCTGCTTCATCTAGGGCAGGGAAATCAGGGTTTGACTCAGGTAGAGACAAAGAAGCTGGAGAAGGGGCTTAGCATTTACAGCCCTGGAAAGAGATGGCTAAAATTATGCTGTTGTCAGATAGGTCACTTATTGCGTACGGTTGAGAATCCTATAAGGGCTTTAGGTGGAAGTGGTGGTAAAATGTGTAACCAGTAGTATAATGCAACACCTGGACATCCACCTGAGACTGTGCTCTGAGTGGCTGAGTTTTAGCAGCAAGTTTGAGGAGTTTGCACTGTAAAGAGAAAATACAGACATAGTCCTCTTTTTTACAGTAGTGGTCAGAGATAGAAAGTGATCCCATCTTACCTGTCCACTATGCAGTACTGTATATAAAATACAGGCTTTGCCCATCATAGCGGGCAAACACCCAAATGGATCTTCAGGGTCTGGGTTCCATAGTTATTGGACCAAGTCCCTGGACCTGTATAGCACCCTGCGGCTGACTACATGAGTTGCGCCTGTGCATTATCTACAGGCTGTCCCCACAATGTAGGGTCTGGGTATGGCTCTGCAGGTAGTAACCAAGGTTGTGCTGATCCAGATGCACTACTTTTATTTGTGGTATTAGAAGGTAGTGAAGGAGGTGATTGAAGAACTGACCGAAGAACCTGAGGATAAAATAAACTAGTTAAGCTAAGTGTGATTTCAAGTGAGAAGTGGTCCATCACCTTAGTACACTAGCAAAAAAAAAAAAAAAAAAAAAAAAAAAAAAAAAGATGTTTTACAAAGTGGGGCAGGGTAATAGGGAAGGTGCCAAGCGAGTGTATCCACACAAATGTTGCCAGTGCCTAATCACCTGAAAGTATGAACCCATAACTCAGGGTCTATGAATACCTTGCTTGTGTCCTGTACTGTACGATTAAGATAAAGTTTGGCTTTAAAAACGGTACAAAGTGAACTCCAGACAGACAATTCAACGAGAACGTTCCCCATCCCACAAAATATAATGCTCATTTTGTCTAGGTGGCTGACGATCTAATAGAGTGGTATACATACCTTAAAAGGATAAGTTGACTTTTTAGACAAAAATAATAAATGCACATTTTTTTGCAGGTAAAAAAAAAAAAAAAAAAAATGTGCATTTACTATTTTTGTCTACAGAAGCCTGTAAAAGCATTGCACCAGTGATCAGTAGATTACTGTTGCCATGCAGATCTCCTGCAGACCTATTAGAATATTTGCTTGCCATATGGAATGTACGAGCAAGCAGCTATTCTGACAGGAAGCTACAATGAACTACCACGGCACTCCACAGCGCCGTGGTAGTTCACTGAAAACTACAAGCCGTAGTTCATTGAAAACTGAAGTCCATGAATGAAAGATACGGCCGTGTGGGCAGAGCACCAAACAGCTGCACTGCTTTCTGACAGATAGTATGGGGAAACATCTCCCTGTAACTATCTGTCAGAGGGAGGGGGGGACGGAGAGACATCCATATTTAAATTTTTTGACCAGCCTAAAGTTGGCCTTTAAATAACCCCAAAGAGGAATAGTTATGATGACCATAATTCAATTAAAAAAGACTACCTGGTCATAACTCTGGCATGCGTTCGGCTGTCCATTTTACTAGCCAGTAGCAATGCATGGCCCCACAGTCCATGTTTCATAGCAGACTCCAGAGCATCCTGGGAAAAATATAGGATAACAGTGATTTAGCAACAAAGGAAGAAGCAGATATTTTAAACAATCATTACTATCAGAGGATCAGATGTTTTTACATCAAGACAAAGACAAGATAAATTACAAGGAAAACACAAACAGTGCTACCAGATTCTGACATAGTATTGAATCCTCTCTGAGACAACGGTAAAGGCTTTTTATGTACCTTTTTACGGCCGTACAGCAGAAGCTCCCGGAAACGTTCCGTCTCTTTCTCCATGACTGCTCCACTGATGGGTAAGGTATCTGTAAGAAAGGAGAGCTGGGAGGCAACAGATTCCTCTTCCTGTTCCAGCGGCTCATTGTTGAAATCGATCAGATTTGCTTCGTTTGGTGATTTCCCAGGAAGCCACACAGTTTTGTGATCTTGAAGCAGCAGCTCAGCTATATCTGTCCCTACAACTGTCTATAAAGATTAACACAAAATAGCAAGTTATATTTAAATGTCTTTCAGTTCACACACTACATGACAGAATAAGAATAGTAGTATCAGAAGCAAAATGTTTAATATAGTAGAAACCGACTAAACTGGTTTCCAAATGCACATAAAGAAGACATAAGGCCCCCACAGCTAATAATACCTGAGCCACATTCACCTCTCTCTCTCCCCACCCCGCATCCACCTTGTATCTTTAAATGCTCTTCTGGCCATGGACAGTTAAGAGACATACCCCACACTTGGGAGTAAGGGGCAACAGATGACATATTCAATTTCCTTGCTGCTGCTTGGCGAGTGGCTGCTTAGGCACCCAGTGTTGTCACATGGGGTCAGGGAGAGACACCTGAGCTCTGTGTAAGCTCTACACCTTTACAGCTGAATGGATCAGTAGAGAAAAAAAAGGAAGAGTATAAGAATTTGGCAAAGTCATCAGCAGAGCTTTACCTTGCATCTGTTGGGTATGGCTGTTATTAAGAAGTGATTTATCATCTATCACCTACAAAAGAACAACTTTTTTGTTGGCTAACCTTACTACTGTTTTACTCCCTAGGAACAGCATGGCAGCGCACGGGACTTCAACTAAATCTATGTGTATGGACGTTACTTTCTTTCACATTATGATTAGTAGTTTGACCTAGTGAGAAAAATGAAAGTTACAAAAGGCTCCTCTATCATTTCAATAATGTAATTTCTTCCAGATGCTCAGCAGTCCCTTCCTGTGATTAAATACATCTATCCTTTTAAATAAATATAACTACTGGCAATCCCTATTGTTATTTGCTTATATTAAAAAAAAAAAAAAAAAAAAAAAAAGTGTTTTGCATAGTAAGTCTGGTTTTAAATCCTAGGAAACCACCAAAGATGTCCCCAGCATCATGCAACACAACTTACCCCATTTTGTCTGCACAGCAGAACGATAAAATCCCAGAGCAGGCGGGCAGATTCCTGATCTATCAGGTTTTCATTCTGTGCGCACTCTTTGGCTTTATTTTGTGCGAAATTAATAACATCAACTTTATGGGTTTCATCTCTGCAGATATAATGAAAATAATTTGACATACACTGAACTATAAACTTGAAAAACAGCTCTCAAGCGTTTAACAACTGCAAACCCCGGATGCCAGAAAAAGTTATTTTTAAGGCCCAATTTCTTGTCCCTCTTACAACAAGACAAGAAATGAAGGGAAAGGTTAGTAGAACAGGAAGATACAGAGTAATAACCTGATATAGGTTCAAGGCTTCACGTTCCCTCATAAAAAACATTATTCAAATTATTTTCTCGTATTACACAATACCTTTAACACATACAGCAGACCAAACAGAATAGAAAGTATTATTTTACTTTAGAAAGTCTTATTTTACTGAAAGAGAAGTTGATGCTTGGAATAGACTTCTAGCAGAGGTAGCAAGCCAGTCAACAACTTCAAAACATGCTTGGGACAAAAACAGAGCTATATTTAAAGAGAAAGGTAACTAAAAAAAAATAAAAAAAAAAAAATACAAAAACGTACAAAAAAAAAAACAAAAAAAAAAAAAAACAAAAAAAAAAACAAAAACAGACAGACAGGATGGACCACTGTATTTTTTCTGCTGTCACTTTTCTATGTGTCTACTACTATGAAAAGTAACTTGGGCAGGACCCAACTACAGAAAAAAAAAGGATTTTATGGTGAACCCCCAAAAGAAAATCCTTTCATTTGTCGTTAAATAGGGGACATAGCAGACCACTGGGATATCACCCCAAAGCAGTCCAAAATATGGGGATGGGAAAATATCTTTGCATCATGCAGACAACTGCCAGACAGTGCTAAAGCCCCATCCTATGCACCAGAAGAAAAAAAAAAAAAAAAAAAAAAAACCCTTGCAGGAAGGTAGAGAAATGAGCCATAATACTATGGATTAATTTGCTCCAGCAGGCTTGTTCCACGTTGGGCGACTTGTCCCCCGAAGCTTCTGCTCTAAGGCTAGGCTCACACCTATGGGATTGGTGAGGGTCACGTTTGCGTAGGCACAGCAGCCTATTCATTTAATTGGGCTGCTGTACCGGGAAAATGCAGGATAAAGATCCTTGCATCTTTTTAAAATCGCAACCGCAGGGAAATCACATGGTACATTTGCGCCATGCAATTTCCCGCACCAGAAGATTTCAGATGGCAGCCTCGTATAATTGCTAAATTGCAGCATAGTCTGCCAGCAGGTGTGGGAATGCATGAAACGAATTCCAGCAACCACATATTTGTGAACCTAGCTTAGGTGCTATGGACAGCAGTTGGACTCTGGCAGCCTACACATACAATGCAGGAGCAATAGCCCTTCACTGGATGTAAGGAATGCAAGGAGTCGATTTTAAACTCTGCCTGAACAAACTGCCACTTGCAAGACCTTTCATAATGAAGGCCTCAGTAACATAATAGAACTTGTTGAATGTATCATCCGAGGACCAGGTGGCATCTCTGCACACCTGAAATGCATACCTCTGAGGTCAAACAACCTAAGGTGTTCCTACAGCACTAACGGAATAACAACAACAGTGAAGGGAGCAGTCCATTTTTTTTAATTGAACACACCTGGGAAAATGTCTGGTGAATTCACAACACAATAGTGGCACTGGAAGATGAAGCTCTTTGGAGGACTTTCGGTTATGAAAAACACTGAACTCACCTTGTCATTCAGGAAGAGTCCAACTAATCTCTCTGCAGAGTGTGAGGAGCGATTGACTTTAAATTGGAAAGAGTTGGACAAAAGGGGGCAGAATGGCATATATATTAATGTGAAAAAGTAGACACTACTAATGTCAAAGAGTCACCTTATATTATATTCAATTGCCAGGAAAGGCAAATTGCAAGAGACTCTACTTGCCAAGGTGATGGCAACCAGAAATGCAACATGTGAAGCAGGACCTTTGAAAGTACCTCATGCACAATAGAAGACCATGAAAAGCCCATAAAACCAGATTAGGTAGAATGCTAAACAGGTGAAATAATGTGAGTGGCTACCTGTACAAAGCTATGTATTGAGAAATGCGACATTAATGACTGGTGGAACAGAATAAACATAGGGGAAATGTGTCCTTTGATGGTGCATAGACCCAACGCTTGTTCAAGGTCCATTTGTAGAAAAAAGAGAACACTAGCAATAGAAGAGGGTTAAAGTCACTGACATCATACTTGTAAGACCTTCTTCCATTGATGTTCTGAGAGATGCAACAAGACAAGGCGTGGCTGTACAGGAAACATACAGTCCATAGGAGCCAAGCCTTCTGCTTTCTTAGTTTTCTACCTCCTAGTGGCAGGGCATACATCTCAGTCTGCTGTGACCCAATGAACTACTAAACAACATTTTATGAGTTTGTTGTGAATAGCACGAATGGTCACAGATTAATTCAATCATTTTTACGGTTGCATGACAATTCCAGAGACAAAAACGTACTTGACCAGAGGTCCAGGAAATGCTCTCATCTGCTCCTGTTCAGGACAGCTCTGCAGGATTATCTGGAAAATATTCAGGTACCGTAAGACAAAAAGAAAGTCCAAGAAAGAGCAAAAAACAAAAAAAAAAGAAAACAAAAAGGAGACTGTAAAACATTAATTGACAATTTGTTTTTCTAGTACTGCTAATGCCCAAAATAACCTAACCCACGAGATCAGCTAATACAGAATCTTTACCTCTATGTTGTGGATTTCTACAAGTGTGGGCTGTCCGTCTGAAGGAAGATTGGGAAGCACTTTGATCAGGTGACCGCCAGGGCCAAACCTGGCACAAACATGAGGGCTGCCAAACTTTTCTGGGGTAAGGGGCCTGGAAGGAACTACAAAGGAGAAAAAAAATAAATAAAATAAAAAATATTTATTAAAAAAAAAAAAAAAAATCTTTGAAACATGCTATCTTTTCACCAATACCAAAACTCATTAAAAAGGATATCTAAATCCGGTAACAAAATTTTAATATGTTGCAGTTCTTAGAAGTGTTGGCTGCAGTATTTTTCGTGTTTGAGACTAAGAAAATTTTCAGCAAGTACAGAAATTACTGATCTTGCCACAAACACTGTCCACCTCACTTCCTGTGAATTGAACTGATATATAAACAATGTTATTTTCCTTTCAAGCTATATTCTGTAAACTAATTTCCCTGCACCCCATATAATGGAGATGGAGAGGAAGACAAGATTGTAGTCCTGCTCCAGGGTGGCAACCATGGCTCTATTTATAGATACAGATGAGTGAGTGAGCGTAGGCACCCTAGAGACAGGAAGGGTTTTACTCTTAAGACTACCATGTAACAATATAAGATAAGATAGGAGTCTAAAAAAAAAGAAAACTAATGCAGCTACCACATTTAACCAACTGCCAACTGCCCACAATAATTATACTTTGTGCGGCAGGTACAAGCACAGTCACATATATGTATCCTGCCTGCGCATGGAAGAACAGCGCACCGCTCCAGTGGATTAAGAGTTACCCATCATGTGATCGCTAGGATTGGTCATAGCAATCACATGATTACAACATAAATTAAAAAGTCATGTCCATTCATAACATTAGTGTAGTGAAACTGTGATAACAGCTATTACATCAGCTTCATATCACCCGTGTAGGACTCGCCTGGGACTTGTGGTTCCACTGCCTCTGGGAAGGTAGGTTTTTTTTCTGCCTTTATCCCTGCTGAGGGAAAGCAGCAGGGCTATCTGTCAGGTGGAAGCATTCGGGTGGCAGGGCTACCGCCCGGTTGCTTCAGCAGTCACCAGCCAACGCCCCCCTGCCCGCTATATGTCCCAGGCTCCGCTTGCCCATCTGTGGGCCCGGGACCAGTCAGTGGGTGCCGGCGGTATGGCAGGGTGCGGGTATAGGGGAGGGAAGAGAGTGGACACGTCCACTCCCCTCTCCTTGTCCTGATGTGACATCACTTCCAGGTCCCCGTTGCCAACGTGGTTGGGAAAAAATGTAATGCAGTGCGATGTGCACTGCATTATATTGAGAGGAGCACAGGGGAGCCATCCAGGGACTTTTTGTCCCCTATGTGATAAAAAAAAGTAAAGTTATTTATTTTTTTAAATGTAAGTTACAGCCAAGCATATAACCTCCACCCCCAGATTTTTAAAGGCCCCCCACCAACACATATCTACGCACACACAAACGTAAAAGAATGCGCTGGGACGCCCACACATGAAAATGAGGATTGCGATAACACGTTACATATCGCCGTGCATGCCAGAATGAGAGCAATAATTCTAGCACCAGACCTCCGTAACAAAAAACTGATGACCTATAAAGGGACTTTAAATGCGTCACCTATAGAAAATATAGAGTACTAAAGTTTGCTGCCATTTCATGAGCGCATATAAATTTAAGGTTTGACCATGTTGGATATCCATTTACTCGATGCAACCTCGTCTTTTGTATTTTCCAAAAAAAAAAATTAATAATTTATTGCTTTTTGTGCCCTAAAAATTGCTTAAAAGTATTTTAGACTGAAATTTTGTTTTAATGATTTGTGATATTATATGACATAAAAAATTGGAACTACCACCATTTTATTCTCTAGGGTCTCTGAGGAGCAGCCAATCGGTGCTCATTACACAGCAAGGTCTCTCCCCTCCCTGCTAGTCCTCGGTTGCAGTGCTAGAAACAGCGCAATGTTAAAAATATTAAACGTTTAAGTCACTATAGTACCCCTTTTGTTTTTAAAAGCCCCAGACATTCCATAAAGCACCTCCGATTTAAATACAGTTTTGGTTAAATTTTTTTTTTTTTTTTAATCAGGACAAGTAGATTGTCATGAGGGAAAAGTAAATTGGGGCACTGATTTAGTCCCTGGACAAGTAGTTATTTCAAACATTTCCACAACACTGCACATGGTATCGGGCTAACTGTAACATGTGTTTAGCTGTAGCCAATCACAGCATGTCAACAGTAACTAAGCGGTCATGAATGTTAACCCTTTCCTGACAGCTAAAACTATTCCTTAAAACAGTGATGTTCACCGTTATAAGCAATAACAGTGCAAAAAAAAAATCCCTATGGTGAAACTAAACTACTCTGAGAGGATAAAAAAAAAAAAAAAAAAAAGTTATAAAAAATGTATTTTTTTTTTCTTTTTTACACATACTGTCACCAGTCAGTATTCCTGATCACCACCACACCAGTCAAATGATGATGCTGTATTGCACTGGTGACAGTATGCAAAAAAAAAAAAAAAAAACCTCAAACATTCTGCAAAAAAAAAAAAAAAAAAATATTTAAATTTTTTCATCTTACAAAAAAATTGTGACAAAAAATTACAACTTCAAAAAACTCGCCAAGCCTATTACTAAATACCTCAGACTGTCTACTTTCCAAAAAGGCATCATTTAGGGGACATCTGTAATGTCCTGGCATCTTAGGGCCTCAAGAAATGAGGCAGTCAGTACATCAGGATCAATTTTTAAATATATATACACCGTAGTTTGTAGACTAAATTTCACACAAACCAATTAATATACATAGATAGATAGAATTTTTTATTTTTTTTTACCAAGGACATGTAGCAGAATACGTTTTAGTCTAACTTTATGAAGAAATGTGTTTTTTTTATTGGATGTGCTTTATAACAGAAAGTAGAAAGTATTGTTTTTTTGGGGGGGTTCAAAAATTTCAGTCTTTTGTTCAGATAATAAAAAAAATTAAAAAACCAGTGGTGATCAAATACCATCAAAAGAAAGACCTATTTGTGTGATAAAATATACATTTCATTTGGGTACAATGTTGCACGTCCGAGCAATTGCCACTTAAAGTGCAGTGCCGAATAGCAAAAAAAAACCTTGGCCATGAAGGGGCGAGGCTAGGTTCACATCTGTGCAGGTGGTGCAGCTGCGCATTCGCACACAAATACGTGCAGCCACACCACCCGCACAGAGGAATGCGGAACTTCGGGCAGATGCCATTAATTCTAACGGCACGCTGCCCACACTGGAAATCACAATCGTACTGGGAACCGAGGTTCTCGTGCAGGCTGCGTTTTACAAAGAAGTGCAGGGACTTCTTCCCTGTGTGTACCGGGGCAAATGACTGGGCTCTCATGCCCGCGCAAAACGCGGCCCACATGGCCGCAGATTTGTGAACCAGGGGTAAAACATTCTGGAGGGCAGGTGGTTAAGGATTGGTAAGCTGCAATATACTCAATTTTTTTTTGTTTGAATACGTTTTGTACCATATGTCCCACCAAAACAATATTTGTTTAGATTTGGATAGACTGTATTAGGACTCTTGCATTTTTACTGTTATCTGATGATCCTGCAGAGCGACTTTCCCTTTCACTTACTTTCCAAGTGACAATGCTTTTACCAGACAAAAGTGAGGAAAAATCTCCAAAGCAACACAGAAAACAGATTTGTTCCTAAACTTAATAAAAATATTGAAAGTAAAAATGTTTTCTCTTTAGAGTAAGAAGGTGGCAGCTAGATCTTCCATCAGTATTTTCCTGCCTTTGGATCTCAGTCACAGATTTTCCTTCCTTGTAAAAAAAAACCTTCACACAGTAACACTCCGGTCACACCAGGTGCAACTTGCCATGCGAGTTGCGGTGCGATTCCAACTTGGTCACAGCCAAACCGATTTCTAAAGTAGTGCATGCACTACTTCAGGTGTGATTTGCATAGATATCTATGTCTTGCAAGTCGCACCTCAAGTTGAAATGACATCGGACTTTGAAATTGTGCGACTTTACTGGAAGTCGCATGATTTCGAAGTCAGATCGGTGTGACCGGGGTGTTAATGAGGGGAAATCTTTCCAACAGAACACAACATAGCAGTAAAACACAAGAGGCTCCACACCTACATTCCATCCAGAAATAAAAAAAAACAGTTTTAAATGGACATGGCACTAACATGGCAAAAACCAGTTTGCTATGGGATATGTAAACCTTGGTTTGTCTGCTTTTCTGAATAGATACCCTGTTCCACTGGCTGCCACTCTGAGCCGCTTGAGTAGACATATTGAGAGCTGTCCAACGGTTGTTGTGTACTATATTCATTCGGATACATGCTGTAGGAATAGTCGCCAAGGGCAGGGTTAGCAATATGGCTGCTGTACACATTTGTTGTCAGATCCTGGTCGCTTTTGTAGACCTGACTCTAGAAAAAGGTTCAGAAAATTGCACTGTAAATATTGGCATATATTCAACTAATACCAGAATGGATACAATTAAGCAGCACACCTGCTGTGAACGAGAGCTAAAGCTGCTGCGACGACTGTGTGTGCTTCGTTCACTGTGCACACTGCGGGCAGAATGCTCGCTGTGTACGCTACGCCGATCAAAATCGTCTTTGGCGAGATCTCTGCGTGCATCAATTTCATCATCAAAGCCACCAACATAGCGTGGGTCGTACTGCCAACGGTCTTCATACACATCATACCTGTTTGAAGAGAAAGCATATGTTTTTAGCGCAGACTTTCCTTTATGTAGGATCCTTCATTCTGAGGATGGCCAAAGTCTTAAAACAACCCCCCAAAAAATAAAGGAATTTTAACTTCCCTGTAGATGCTATATCTTGGCGTACAGTACAGGACACAGGCAACTTATTTATACAAGTGATTGGATACAGTCAAGATTTGATAACAGACACACACCCCTGGGGCAACTCCCCTATAACCCTACCCCTCTCTGTGAGTCTTAGTAGCAAGCAATGCAAAATAAAAAGGAGGGTTTAGAGAAGGTGGCCTGCATCCTTTACTGTACTACAAGGTATGGCATTCACAGGCAAGTCAAATTTCTACTTATCTAACCACTTTAATAGCACGCTACAGACAAACGACGGCTACAGCGCAGTTGTCTAGTTCTGGGAAGGCGCCAATGGATACTTATAACCATATCCAACCAAAGTTATATAGTTATTATGTCTCTGATACAGCCAGGTGGGTCCGGTGAAACCGGTCAGGCTGCGCAAGTCATGACGACCTATTATGGATTTCTTACAAGATTGATAAACATCACTCTAATGGCATCATGGGACATTATGTTCGCTTTGGATGGATATGCTTACAAGTATTAGAAAGCCACATTTGCTATTTTTTTGTGCCCCTGTTTCACTAAAGAGTCAATAGGGATACCTTTTGAACGACATGAATTGCTAGTGTGAGGGAGGCCAACAATCATAGGAGTAAACCTTGGGCAACACACACCCCTATGAGTGTTACTGCCATCATAGTCACCTCCTCTGGACCACATTGTGTCGTTTTTGGATCTACTTGCTTGATTACTGCCACCTTATTCAATTTTGTCTATGTATGGAATCTAGGATGCAAATAAAATTGAACAGCCCCTAAACAGGACAGATTTAATCAGACCTGTTATGCAACTGGAGTGTACCTGTTGAGGAAAACCTGTGCACAAAAGTCTACATACATATCTTTGATAACCAGATACTGTTTATGGTGGACTTTGAAACAACTATATAGCATGCTGGAAAATATATATTCTTTGTGGCCACCTAATGTCTATCTATTTCTATCTATCACTGTCCCTGTTTTCCGGAGAGCTCTCAGTAGGAAGTTACGATAAACGTTTTGAATTTAAAATATGATTTAGGCGTCCTATAGGTCCCTGAACATGATTGTTTAATGGTTTTTAGTGGGGTTTGTTTTGTTCAGAGTGTTTTTCTTTGTAATGTTAATAAATTATTTTATGTTGATGATATCTGTCTATGGTTTTCTTACTTCTATACAATGGTTTAGGTAAAGGTATTGAGCTAAATCCATTTTTATGCTTTTGTTTTTTTGAAAATTATTGCCTATGTGGTATGCTCCTTCCCCAACTTAATGAGATATATAAGAAATAAACTTGTGACCTAGAAGGATTAAGTATATTTTTACTTTAAGTGCAAAAATCGACTTCCAGGGCTTACTGCAAAGTTCTGTGAAGTTCTGTGAAGACTGGATAAAGAATGCACACTCCTTACTAGAGATTCATGGCACTCTAATTATTGAGTAGCCATATGGTCTAGTGGGATCAAATCCCTGTAAAGGTGTACCTCAGTTTACAAACGCCTCGGTTAACGTAATTTTCGGTTTACGAATGAAAATCCATTAAAAATAATTAGAGATGAGCGAATTATTCAAAAATTCGATTCGGCTGATTCGCCGAATTTGCGGGAGAAATTCGATTCGATGCGAATTTATTCGCCGCAAATTTAACTTATTTAAAGGGTTTCTAGGCTTCAGAGAGCCTTTATATTAGTGCAGAACACTGTACCTTTAATTTAAATGCCCTTGGAGTCTGCTGGGGAAGAGAAATAATACTGACAGTCAGTATGACATGCAGATGAGTGCCGTCGATCTTAGAATCACCGCACACTTCACTCATTTGGGCAGTCACGGGGCACGACAAAGAAGAAGAAGAAGAAAGAATGAAGAGAAGAAGAAGAAGAAGAATGAAGAGAAGAAGAAGAAGAAAGAAGAATGAAAAGAAGAAGAAGAAGAAGAATGAAAAGAAGAATGAAAAGAAGAAGAAGAATGAAAAGAAGAAGAAGAATGAAAAGAAGAAGAAGAATGAAAGAAGAATGAAAAGAAGAAGAAGAATGAAAAGAAGAAGAAGAATGAAAAGAAGAAGAAGAATGAAAAGAAGAAGAAGAATGAAAAGAAGAAGAAGAATGAAAAGAAGAATGAAAAGAAAAAAGAAAAATGAAAAAGAAGAATGAAAAAAGAAGAAAAATGAAAAGAAGAAGAAAAATGAAAAGAAAGAATGAGAAGAAGAAAAAAAGAAGAATGAGAAGAAGAATGAGAAGAATGAAAATGAAAAGAAGAAGAAGAATGAAAAGAAGAAGAAGAATGAAAAGAAGAAGAATGAAAAGAAGAAGAAGAATGAAAAGAAGAAGAATGAAAAGAAGAAGAATGAAAAGAAGAAAAGAAGAAGAATGAAAAGAAGAAGAAGAATGAAAAGAAGAAGAATGAAAAGAAGAATGAAAAGAAGAATGAACTATATTACTATATCAGTTTCTAATGGATGCTGGAGAGTTAAACCCCCTAACACCTGCTGTGCCCATTATGAGGGGTTCCCACCATCCCTGTGCTGAGGTTCCAGGTCTGCACACCTGCTGCGCCCATTATGAGAAGTTCCCACCATCCCTGTGCTGAGTTCCTGGGTCTGTACACCTGCTCTGCCCATTAGGAGTTCCCACCATCCCTGTGCTAAATTCCTGGGTCTGTACACCTGCTGTTCCCATTATGAGGGGTTTCTACCATCCCTGTGCTGAGGTCCCAGGTCTGCACACCTGCTGCGTGCCCATTACTAGGGGTTCCCACCATCCCTGTGCTGAGGTTCCAGGTATGCACACCTGCTGTGCCCATTATGAGAAGTTCCCACCATCCCTGTGCTGAGTTCCTGGGTCTGTACACCTGCTCTGCCCATTAGGAGGAGTTCCCACCATCCCTGTGCTAAATTCCTGGGTCTGTACACCTGCTGTTCCCATTATGAGGGGTTTCTACCATCCCTGTGCTAAGGTCCCAGGTCTGCACACCTGCTGCGCCCATTACTAGGGGTTCCCACCATCCCTGTGCTGAGGTTCTGGGTATGCACACCTGCTGTGCCCATTATGAGGGGTTCCCACCATCCCTGTGCTGAGGTTCCAGGTCTGCACACCTGCTGCGCCCATTATGAGAAGTTCCCACCATCCCTGTGCTGAGTTCCTGGGTCTGTACACCTGCTCTGCCCATTAGGAGGACTTCCCACCATCCCTGTGCTAAATTCCTGGGTCTGTACACCTGCTGTTCCCATTATGAGGGGTTTCTACCATCCCTGTGCTGAGGTCCCAGGTCTGCACACCTGCTGCGCCCATTACTAGGGGTTCCCACCATCCCTGTGCTGAGGTTCTGGGTATGCACACCTGCTGTGCCCATTATGAGGGGTTCCCACCATCCATGTGCTGAGATTCCGGGTCTGCCCACCTGCTTTACCCATTATTAGGGGTTCCCACTGTCCCTGTGTTGAATTCCTGGGTCTGTATGTACACCTGCTGTGTCCATTGTGAGATATTCCCACCATTCCTGCACTGAGTACCTGAGTCTGTACACCTGCCAAAAGAAAGTTTCAGGATTTTGAAGGAGCAAAATACAGTAATACTGGAACAAAAATGAGCTGCGTGGTGGAGTTGCCAGAAGAAGAACAAGAATGAAAAGAAGAATGAAAAGAAGAAGGAAAAGAATGAAAAGAATGAAAAGAAGAAGAAGAATGAAAAGGAGAAGGAGAAGAATGAAAAGAAGAAAGAATGAAAAGAAGAAAAAGAATGAAAAGAAGAAGAAGAAGAATGAAAAGAAGAAGAAGAAGAAGAAGAAGAAGAATGAAAAGAAGAAGAATGAAGAATGAAAAGAAGAAAGAAGAAGAAGAAGAATGAAAAAAGAAGAAGAAGAAGAAGAAGAAGAAGAAGAAGAAGAAGAAAAAAAGAAGAAGAAGAATGAAAAGAAGAAGAAGAATGAAAAGAAGAATGAGAAGAATGAAAAGAAGAATGAGAAGAATGAAAAGAAGAATGAGAAGAATGAAAAGAAGAATGAAGAAGAATGAAAAGAAGAATGAGAAGAATGAAAAGAAGAAGAAGAAGAATGAAAAGAAGAAGAAGAAGAAGAAGCAAAGAATGAAAAGAAGAGAAGAATGAAAAGAAGAAGAAGAAGAATGAAAAGAAGAATGAAAAGAAGAAGAATTCCAGTACAGCAAAAAGTGTATCTGCAGAGAGCTCCGCTATTTCTGACAGTTCTCTGACAGTTCCTTCACATTTACAGCGGTTGAAACATTGTATCTGTTTCCGAATAAAAACATCTGTATCCTAAATGGAAACAAATAGATACAATGTTTCAACCGCTGTACATGTGAAGGAACTGTCAGAGAACTGTCAGAAATAGCGGAGCTCTCTGCAGGGACACTTTTGCCGGCTGATCGGGAAAAATCCGATTCGTGCACCCGAAGTTGGCTAATATTCGTAACGAATCGAATTTTTCCTGAAATTCGAAACGAATTCCACTTCGCCTGGTTCGATTCGCTCATCTCTAAAAAATAATGCCTCGCTTTACGAATTTTTTTTTTCGCTATACAAAGTGTATGTCGGTGCCGATTTTTAAATGCAATTGCTGGCTTTTTTTTTTCTTCACTATAGCTCACAGAGCTGTCACTTTCCCCGGGAGTTAAAGGAAGCTTTGTTTGTAAAAGTACACATGGTTTCTTTTCACTTGGGGAAATAAACTAAAAAGAAACTTTCTCTTTTAGCTGGGGGGAAAGTGACAGCTGAATCTCTGAGGTATAGTGAAAAAAAAAAAAAAAAAAAAAAAAAAAAAGAAGCAGTAATTACATTTAAAAACCAGCACCATAATAAATAAAAAAAATGGCGTGGGGTCCCCCCTCTCGTCCATACCAAGCCCTTCGGGTCTGGTA